CCCCCCATCCGGATACACGCACGGGAACAGTCCCTCCCGCTCCATCCCCCGGGAAACAGCCCAGCTGTCCGCGACGCGGCAGCACACGTGCCGGCAGAGGTGGGGTAGTCCTGGCAGGAACAGGAGCAGACGCCCACACGTGCCACGTGGACCCGGCACCACGGAACGTGTCTCCTTTGGACAGGGCCCCGGAAGTAGCCAAGCTCAGCTATTATGATAAAAACGGGATGCCCCTACCCGGGCGGTGAGGGGCAGGACGGCGTGTGGGATGCCGGATGGGGTGGGGAGGAGTCTCAGATGTGGTGTTCAAATTCAGCCCAGAGGCGCGGGGCTTGCCGCGATCTGAAAATACGCTTCGATTCCTTTTTTAACATAAGGAAAAAGAACAATAACACCAGAGAAGGGCCTTTTGTGTTCGATAATATGGCAGACTAGACACAGACGATGGAAAAAGAAAGCGCCACATAAGTTGGCCGCGATAAACCAAACAGCCTGAAGAAGGAAGCGCTTGCTCCAAACAGAAGGAAGGAGGAATGAACTGAGCCAGGAATAAACCGACGGTGGGAGCTGGCAGGGGGCCGGTCCGGGCCGCGGGGAGAAGGGTTCCTGCTCCCCAGCACCCCAAAATCTGTGCCCGGGAACCCCGGGGTCTCTGCTGGTCGCTCGTGAAGGGAGGACTGAGAGGCGGTCCTGGGTCGGGGCGACTCCACACTTGCAGGAACAACCCCCTGACCCCACCCCCTCCAGGGCCGGAGCCAGAGGACAGCGGGGAAGGCGCTGGTCTTGCTTGTGAGGAATCCAGGTTCGATCCCCAGCACCACAGAGGGTCCCCTGAGCACCCCTGGGAGGGATCCCAGCACAGAGCCTGGAGCACGGCCCTAAGCACGGCCGAGCACCACCCAAAAACATAAAAGAAAAAGAAGCAAGCAACTTCTGAAGAGTTCGCTGGCCCCAAGGTGAGACTGTGACAAAGGCGAGGAGAACAGCCCCCAAATGGAGAGAGTGAGCACCCCGGGACCCTCAGCCCGATCTTGGACTCTGCTGGGTCCAGGGAAGAAGGTCTGGAGAAGTGGCTGACCTCGCTGGATAGGCTCACTGACCACTGCCTTGCACGGCAGTCCTTTTTTTTTTTTTTTTTTTTTTGCTTTTTGCTTTTTGGGTCACACCTGGTGACGCTCAGGGCTTACTCCTGACTCTGCACTCAGGGATCACTCCTGGTGGTGCTCGGGGGACTATCTGAAGTACTGGGGATCAAACCCGGGTCAGCCACATGCAGGCCAGCGGCCTCCCCGCTGTCCTGTCTTTCCAGTCCCGTGGGGAGGTTCTGGCCTTGCAGACCTGTGTGACCTCTAGTCTTTTCTCTTCACAACACTTGTGTTTTATGGTCTGCTTTAGTTTGGGGGCTACACCTGACAGTCTTCAGGGCCGACTGAAGTATCCTGGAAGTGTTCCAGGGACCATGGGGGGGCTGGGAATCAAAGCATCATCATGTGCAAAGCAAGAGCCCTAACCACTGTACTATCTCTCTGGCCCCCAAAGCAAACACCAAGAGCCCCAAGTGTTACTGGCTTTGGGGGTCCCTGCGGAATGGGAGGCCCCAGGTGGACTGGGGTAAGGGGGTGATCCAGATGCTGGATGAGCTCCCCTGGAAAGGGAGGCATCAACCAAAGCAGCGTCTCCCCTTCCTCCCTGGGGGGCCCCCACCAGGATATCTGAATGGGAGGGGGGCATTTCCTGCCAAACTCTGGGTCTCCAAGGCACCTCCATTTCCTCCCGCCTTCAGTCTGGGGTTGACCTCCATGTCAGGGGGCTCGTGGGGGTCCCCCAGCGCAGCCCTGAGCCCCTCCTGCAGCTCCTCACTCGCTGCCTGTGCTCCCACCCCGCGTCCTCCTGCCTGCGACCCTCTGCTTCCTGTCCACTTTCCCTCAGGGTCTCTGCCCTCCCTGGCCACCCAGAAATCCAGTTTTTCCCACAGAATCACCCACAAGGAGCTTGTGCTGAATAAACAGGCGGCTGAGAAATAGCCAGGGTCCCTTCCTGATCCGTGTGTAACGGGCACCGACGTGTGTCACAGGGCCCGTGGGAAGGGCAGGGACTCCCGCCTGCCGGACACCCTAAGTCTGCTCCAGCCCGAGCACTCAGGCTCAGCACTCAGGCAGAGCACCCCAGGGGACCCAGCTGGCACCCCCCCAGGGGCAACAGCCTGGACACGTGTTACCAGTGGGCTCCCCCCCCATTCCCTGGTGGGCGCACGGACCCCCCCCTGCCGTGCGGATTCTCATCTCTCCTGGCGGACTCTGGTCTGTGTTGACAAAGCAAAAGAAAAGAAAAGGGAAAAAAAAATCCCCACTGTCACTCAGCCCCCGCCCCGCCTTTGTGCTATGGGGCTGTGTCAAGGTATGCTGGATTCTAAATTAAATGTCAGCCCGCCGAGAGTTCTGGCTCCGCGAGAGGCGGGCACAGGCGCTGGAGACTGTCCAGTCCGCGTGGCTCGTGCCTAACCACGAGAGGTGACGGGCCCGTTGAATCACCGCACACGCGTGTTCCAGGCCACGGGAAGCCAAGACACATTTATTTTTCATGATAAATGTGCTGTCAGAGTTAAGTTGAAACGGCCCGACGGCAAGAGCCGAGCGCCCTCGGCAGTCTGAGACGCTGGCTGCGAGGACGAGGACACCAGCTCCTGCCTGGCCAGGTCCCCCAGGCCCCGAAAGGCGAGCGGGGTGGCTGAACCCCTGCAGCACAACTGGGGGGGCTCAGGCTCAGCTCAGCCCAACCAGGGGGCTGGACGGAAGTGACCGAGGGAAGAGGGGTCCCGCAGGACAGATCTGGGTTCAGAGCCTGCAGCCAGGGCCCGGAGCGATAGTATAGTGGGGAGGGCACTTGCCTTGCACGCAGCCAACCTGGGTTCGATCCCCGGCATCCCATACGGTCCCCCGAGCACCGCCAGGAGTGATCCCTGGGCACAGAGCCAGGAGTAAGCCCTGAGCACCACTAGGTGTGGCCCAAAACACAAAACCAATCTGCATTTATCTGTTGCTGTATGACCGTGGCCCAGTTACTTAACCTCTCAGGCTTCCATTGCCGTGTTGATGAGATGGGGGTGCTGGTAGCCCCCATAGGTTTGGGATGAGGGTGGCAGCAATAAGGGCTCATGCTGGGGCCGGAGAGATAGCTCAGTGGTTAGTAGCAGGAGCCATGAATGTGAAAGGAGCCAAGTTCTTGGTGCTCCAGGGCCCCGAAGAACTGCAGGGCACAGCCCTGAGCTCTGGGCACCATTGGGCACAAGCACCAGATTGTCAATGCAGGTGAACGGCACAGGAGTGCCAGTCGAGTGAGTGCCTGGCATCCCGTGGACGGCCACAGCCAGGACCAGCATCCACATGCCTGCCCCTGGGCCCTGACTCGCCCCCTGCCCAGGCCAGCACCCCTGAGCCAGGCCGTCCACCAGCTGACGGTGCTGGGAGGGTTCTGGCCCTGAAGGACAGGCGGGGTGTGGAAGGGGCAGGGCCTCGTGGCTGGGGGGGGCAGTCCCAGGCAGGTTGGGACAGAAAGGGGGTCCGGCTGCTTCTGGGGCTCCATGGACACCCGCTGGGTCTAAGGGTAGTGGGAAGGGGGGTATGATTCCTCTGGGGAGGTAATTTGCATGTTCTCAAGGCAGGGTGGGCCTTCGCTTCCGGAACCCAATTCCCTCCTATGCCCTCCCCAGAGTGCCCAAGGGTCAGGCATGCCCGGGTGACCCCAGAACGTCAGGGAGCTGCTGAGATGGGGCACTGGCACCTGCTGCAGGGCCGAACCCTCCCCTGGGTGAAGAGCAAATGGCCAGGGTCTCCTCACGGAGCGGGGGGTGACCAGCTGACCAGGGTACCCCTCTCTCGGCCCCCCCAGGATGCACAGTGCCAGGAGGAGCCACCGGGTGGCAGTGCCCACACTTACCTGTCCAGCCAGGAGCAGTACCAAGGCCAGCCTTTCCCCGGGGCACCTGCTGTGCTCAGGGTGGGAATCACCATCCCCTGCCCCTGCTTTGGGGTCCCCTACCGGGCTGCCAGTTCCCCAGCATCCAGGCGGGACCAACTCCTCGGCTTCTCGGCCCCTTTCTCCAGTTCCCCTTCCATGCCCACCTGGAATGCAGGCTGGACTCCCTGCTACCCGAAGCACCCCACCAGCCTCCATTATCAGTTCAGGGGGCAGGGCTGGAGAGACAGGACCGGGTGGAGGCACCGTTCCTTCTGAGGACAGGGACCGGAGCTCAGCCTGAGGTGGCCGTGGGGAAGTCTGACTCCTGGCCCTGAGGTGGTACCCACGCCGGAGAGAAGACAGGGCGCTCTTCCTGGGGAGCCGGAGGCTCAGGACCATACAAGCCCCACGGCCAGGGCCCAAGTCTGATGGCCCGTGGGCGCCCGCTAACCCGCAGGAGACTGGTGTGGCCAGGGGACAGCGTCTTGCACCCGGGCTCCCAGACCCGTGGGGCAGCCCAGGCGACGCCTGGACCCCACCCGTCTGCGGGACCGGGGCGTGTCCCCATCCAGGTCGCTCGCAGCCGGCCACACGCGCGGTGCCGCGCCGAACCAGGCAGGCCGGGAGCAGGGACCGAGTCGGGGACAGACTGGCAGCCGGTGGGGGAGACGAGTCGGTGCCAGGGAACAGCGCGGCGGGCCCAGGCGCCCCAAGGAGCCGGAAAACAGCTCCGGGGAGAATGGGGGGTGGGTGCGGGGATCGGGGGTGTGGGCTTTGGAGCCGGGGGGCGGGAGCCGAGCGCGGGGGAGGGGCGCGCTGACTCGGCGGCGGGGCCGGCGTGGGCGCCGCGGCCAGGAGCCGCGGGAGCTGCGGGTTCCCGGCGCCGATTAAGGACTTTTGACAATTACCTGCGCGGGCTGCTCCGGGCGGATTAGACGCCGGGAAAAGTGCGGCGGGGGGCAGCGGCCACTCGGAAGCCCCCCGCGCGGCCCCGCTCCTGCCTCCCGGGGCCCGGGCGGAGGCGCGGGCTGAGCCGACGCGGGCAGGGCGCGGAGCGGCTGGACCCCGAGCGTCTCGCCCGCCGCACCCCGGCCCGGGCGCCCCCAGGAGGCTGGAGACTCGGGGACCCCCGCGCTCGCCCCGGGCCCTGCAGGGGGCGCAGTCCGGCCTCCGCCACCCGCTGCCCGGCGACGCTCGGGGCGAGCCCAGGGTCCAGGGGGAGGCGCCAGGAGCGCGTCCCGCGCCCGGGAGACGCCGACGGCCCGGAGGGGGCGCCCTGGGGGTCCGCCCGGCGCCGCGCCCCCCGCGCAGGGTGAGTTGGCGAGTCCCGCCGGGGAGGAAGTTTGGGCAGGGGCGCTGCGGGGGGCTTCTGGGGAGCCCGGGAGGCGGGGCGGGGGGAGCCGGCCCGCTTGCGGCTGTTCGCTGCCCTCCGGGCGCGCCCGGGGGACCCGGGGGGCCGGTTCTGCGCCCCTTCATCTGGGCTGCGTGGCGGGGGCGGAATTTCCCTCCCACGGGTGCGGGTGCGCGCGCGTGTGTCCGAGGGGGTCGCGGGAGCAGGCGAAGGCAGAGTCCGAGACAAAAAGCCGCGGCGACGGGCGGGCGGGCGGGCGGAGGGCGGGCGAGGAGCGCGCGGGGCGCGCGGGAGCGGGGACGGCGCGGCGCGGGCGGACGGCGGCTCCGGGGCTCCCGCGCCCGCGCGCCCCGCACCCCGCGCGCACACCCGCACCCGCAGCCGCAGCCGCGCACGCCCGCCCGCCCGGGGTCCGGCCGCCCATCGGGGGCGCGGGGCGGGGAGGCGGGCAGCGCCGGGCCCGCGGCCACCGGGCGCCTTTGCGCTCCCGCAGCGGCGCGCCTCGCCGGGCACCCCCACCGGTCCGGCCCGAGGATGGTCAACGAGCGCTGGAAAGCCGTGGGCGCCGCGTCCCAACTTGAGGAGCGGCCGCGCGACAAGCCGCAGGTACGCGCGAGCCCGGGGCGCGGGGACTGGGGGCGCGGGTGGGCGCGGTGGTCGGCGGCCGCCGGGCCAGGGCCGCTGCGGGCGCGAGGCCGGAGTTGGGGACGCACCAACTCCCCACTCCCCGCCAAGGCTCGGGAAGCTGCGGCGACGCTGCACCCCAGAGGGGCCTTGAACTTGGGGCTCGAGCTGCTCCTGGGCCGGCCCCGTGGCCGGAGTTACCCTCCCCTTGCGCCCACAGAGATCCCTGGAGTCGGGGGTGTGGAGGGAGTGGAAACCAGCAATTCTCTGAGTGGCCCCCTGGGGGACCACTGACACCCCCCCCACACACACACACCCTCTGCCATGGACACCGTAACCCTTGCGGAGTGTCCACCCGCCTCTGATCCCCTCAGGAGGAGCCTGCCACCGTCTCTTCAATCCTTGCTTGGGTCAGGACAGTACAGAGGGGCTGAGCCCCCTGTGCACAGGGGGCGTGGGTGCTGGGGGCTGCCCCTGCCTGGGTGCTGCGGAAATTTGAACCAGACTGTGGGCTCCAAGTGTGCCCACACCGCCCTTCGAGGGCAAAGGCCAGGCTTGAAGGGTGCCGGGTGTGGGAAAGGGGAGCAAGGGGGTGCCCAGGGTTGATCAGCGGAGGGGCAGGGGGCTGGGAAGGGCTGAAATCGCTCTGCCTGCTGCCAGAGGGAGGGTGATACTCCCCCCGCCCCACCATTTTAAATTTCAAATTTCTCCCAGACAGATGCCACTGGGGAAGGAACTGGCGCGTGGCAGCCGCAGGAAGGGGGTGGTGGGCGCGCTGGGGTGCAGGGGCCTGCCTGTGGTCTGGGGGCGCTGCCCTGGGTTGCGGTCAGGGCATTGTGCCCCCGCCCCCAGTTTGTCAAGCTCTCTCCCAGCCCGCGGCTACCCCAGGACCACCTCCAGCAGATTCCGGTCTTTCTGCAGCCTGGGGCTCCCCTCCCCTCAGACAGTGGGTCAGAGGCTGCGGGTGCGAGTTAGCAGGGGACCCAGGCCTCCCTCTGCGCTCCAGGGCCTGGCACCCCGTTAAGGTCTGTCCATGCCGTCCTTCCTCAGACAAAAGTGCCCTTTGCAGGTGCGAGAGCCCTACCCTTCACAGGGGAGTTTTACCTCCGTGGAAACGAGGCGTATTTACCACCTCTCAGTTCCATGCACGTGGGCTCCCGATTCCCAAGCCGTTGCTCTCTCATCCTGTTGGTTCCACCAAACTCCCCAACACACACACACACACACACACACACACACACACACACGGAAACCTACAAACACTTCAAAACCTACTCAAATGCCACCTCCTCCAGGAAGCCTCCCCTGCATCCCCGTGGTTGAATCTTGAAGTCCGGGCAGTGTTTAGTCTGTGTGGTCCTGAACTCACTGTCTCACCCCTAACCCCTCCTCCTCCTCCCTCAGGAGCCCCCTTTGGCCCCTGCACCCCCTTTCTAGGTCTCACTGGCGTCTGGAGGTGCCTGGAAGTGCAGCTTGTGCTTGGAGCCAGGGCCGCCTGGGTGAGGGGCTGCAGGGGTGGGGGGCGGGCAGCGAGTGCCACTCCTGCCCTCGGGAGCCAGCTCACTGGGCTGCTCCCCTGGGGACTCATCCCCGTCTCCGCCAGGTCAGAGCTGCGCCAGCCCCACGTCACCCCGCAGGGACCCGGCCTGTCTGCAGTGCTGCCTGCCTGCGCCTGCCTCTGGGGGCTGGTGTGAACATGGACCTTTTCCAGGGCCGTGCATGGGGAACCTGCCCCCTCAGGTCGGGCTGGCCTACCTGCCTCCTGCTCCCCAAGGCTTCTCAGCCACGCACCTGTTGTGGGATTCTGGCTGTTACCTGCCCTCTTTCGGCCTCGATTTTGCCATCTGTAAAATGGGGCCAACAGTCCTTGCTTCCTCACCCCGAGCCAAGCGGATGGTGTGTTTTGCAGACTTTAAAGGCCGGGTGCACTCTGAACAGCTCGACCCCTTGTGTGGCTTCCTGCCCCCTCGGCCCAGCAGGGAAAGAGGGGGGAGCTTTGGGCCCCCAGCAGGAGGGTGGAGCACTCGGGCAGTGCTCAGGGGCCTCTCCTGGCTCTGTGCTCAGGGGACCATGGGCGGTGCTGGGGAGTGAGCTGGGACCAGCCGAGTCCCAGGCCAGTGCCCTACCCGCTGGCCGAGGCTTCTGTCCCGGGTGCCTGTCCCGGGCCTGGGCGGCTCCTGGCTTCCCCACACCCTCTTGGCTCTCGTCTCCACCCTGGGCGGGGTGACAGGGGGACCGTGGAGGAGCCGGTGAGGGGTAGGGGGGTGCGACGCTGCACAGGCCCCTGTCCGGCGCGTTGGTGACCCCCGGGTGCAGCTCCTGTGACAGCACCGGGCCCTGAGGGTTGCAGGACACTCCTGCCCGGAGCTGTCCTGCCCGACCCTGTCAGTCCTGATTTCGTCACTGGCACGCCCCCTTCCCGCTCCAGCCAGGGGCACCCTGACGGCAGGGTGCCCCACGGAGCAGGAGCTGGAGCGGGTCTGAAGTTGGGACCCTGGTGTGCGGGCCTGGAACGCCCCTTGGAACTGGGTCTAGTTCAGTGGTGGGGGGAGTCTGGGGGCCCCCTGGCTGCTCCTCAGTAGAGGCTTCCGCCAAATCTGGGCTCAGGAGGGGCTTGGGGGAGATGGGGAACCCGGGCAAGGGGGTGGTGTGAGTGTGGGAGGTTAGGAGGATGTGTGTCAGTTGTGAGTATTGGTGTGTGTGTGTGTGTGATTGCTTGTGTGTGAATGTGTGATTGTGTGTGTAGGGGGGAGACTGCACACATGAGAGTATGCATATGAGAGAGATTGCGTGTGTTATGTGTGTTTGCAAATGAGAGATTGTATGCATGTGAGAGTGTGTGTATGTGTGAGTGGGAGATCTCATGCATACGAGTCTGTGTGCGTGTGGGAGATTGCATGTGTGTGTGTGTGAACATGGAAGATTGCACACGTGTGAGAGTGTGTGTGTGCGTGGGAGATTGCATGTGTGTGAGTGTGCAAATGAGAGACTAAATGCATGTGAGAGTGTGTGTGTGTGAGAGTGGGAGATTGCACGCGTGTGAGAGTGTGTGTGTGCGTGGGAGATTGTACGGGTGTGAGAGTGTGTGTGCATGCACATGGGAGATTGCGTGCATGTGAGAGTGTGTGTGTGCACGCGTGTGGGAGAATTGCACGCATGTGAGAACGTGAGAGTGTGTGGGGAGATGGGCCGGTCCTTCCAGGGAACCATCTGGAAACTCCCCTGCAGTGCCCGGCTCAGTCCCCTGCGTGGCTTGCCCTTGCCCCCTGTCCTCCCAGCGAGCTGTGTGTGGGGCGCCTCCTCGGAGCTGGCGAAGGGCGTCCTGGTCCCCGACCCCAGATGTGCGAGCGGGAGCAGGACAAGGGTGCAGGGGGGGGATGGCCTCTGGGGTCTGGCCCCCTTGCTGCGCTGAGCCCCTCCCAGGTCTCACCCCGAGCACTGTCTTCCTTGGGGGTCTGGGGGCTGGGAGCCCCTGGCAGGGACCCTTTTCCTTCCCATCGGGTCTAGGGACTGTGGCCCCAGTGCCCCAGTGCCTCTCCGGGCCTCAGTTTCCCCAGGTGTCAAAGGTCCTGGGACTGCTCTCCAAGCGCCCTCCCCCGACTCCTTGAACCACAGGTTGCCATGGGAGCCCGCTTTGCCAGGGCCCAGATTTTACTCCCCTGCCACCCCTCTTCATTGCCTTTGCCTCTTCCTTTTCTGGGGGGCTCACCCCCACTCTCTCCCGTCCAAGGCTGGGCGACCCCTTTCCTCCTGCTGCTCTGTGAGGGGGAGTGGAGGAGGCAGGCAGACGGCGCACAGGCAGCTGTTCCATGCCCTGAGGCTGCTGGGCTGGTGTGTTGGCGCCCGTGGGTGCGTCTTCCTGACTCCGGAACAGGATGCTCCACAGGGAAGATGACCCCCCAGGACCAGCCCCCGGCCCCAAGCTCTCCTCTCCCCTCATCTGCACGATGAGTTTAAGCGACATCAGTGTCCCCAACACAGCCCTCCCGGGTCTGCCCCCTGCACCCCCCACAGTCCCTGGAGCACAGGGAGCAGCGGGTCATTGTTGCCCCCTTACACCCGTATGGGCCTAGAGCTTCAGCCAGGGAGGATCCCTCACCCAGCGCCTCCCACAGGGGCCCTGCTGTCCACCTCGGGGGTTGGGGACTGGGACGGGGGAGGCCTGCCTGGGCAGGCCAGAGACAGTGCGAAACTAAGTGCCAAGGTGCCCACCACATCGGCCTCCCTGCCTCAGTTTCCCTTTCATCCACGGCAGCTCTCGCTCCTGCTCCATCAGGGGTCTGTGGTCTCTCTACCACTCCCCCACACCCGAGAAGGGTGGTCCTGGGGGCTGTGTCCAGCCGGGGGCTGCCCAAGCAGAGTGGGAGACCCAGCCCTGTTCCTGACGCTGTCCCTTCTCTCTCTCCTGTCTGTCCGTCCTTCTGTCTATCTGTCCATCCATCTGCCCATCCACCTGTTCATCCATCCATCTATCCATCTATCTGTCCATCTGTCGTCCATCTGTCCATCCATCCATCCATCCATCCACCCACCTGTTGGTCCATCTGTCCATCCATCTGCCCATCCACCTGTCTGTCCATCTGCCCATCCATCTTTCCATCCATCCGTCTACCCGTCCATCTGTCCATCCGTCTGTCCATCTGTCCATCTGTCTGTCTACTCTTTTATCTATACATGTGTCTGTTATTCCCTCAATCTGTCTGTCCATTCTTCCATCTGTCCACCTGTTGGTCTGTCCATCTGTCCATCCGTCCACCTATCTGTCCGTCTCTCCATATGTCTGTCCATCTGCCCGCCATCCACCCGTTCGTCCACGCATCCCATGGGCGCCAGTGGCCGAGCTGCGGCTATGTGCTGTGCACCGTCCTGCTGTCGCTGGCCGTGCTGCTGGCCGTGGCTGTGACGGGGGCCATGCTGTTCCTCAACCACAACCGCGTGGCCGGCTCGGCTCCCCCGCCCGTGGTCAGCACGGGGCCTGCTGGCCCCAACAGCGCCCTGGTCACCGTGGAGAGGGCGGACAGCTCGGGCCTCAGCATCCTCATCGACCCGCGCTGCCCCGACCTGGCGGACGGCTTCTCGCGCCTGGAGGACGCCCAGACGTCGGTGCTGCGGGCGCTCACGGAGCAGCAGGCCCGGCGGCCGGGGGGCCCTCAGGAGCGGGAGCTGCTCTCGGCGCTGGCCTCGGAGCTGCCCCGACTGCGGGCGCGCGCTGCGGAGCTGCAGGCGGAGTGCGCCGAGCTGCGGAAGGGGCAGGGCGCGCTGGGCCAGGGTCTGAGCACCCTGCGGAGCGAGCAGGGACACCTCATCCAGGTGAGGCGCCGGGTGGGCGGGGCGGGGGCGGGGCTGCGGGGGTGGCCGGCGCCTGCTGTCCACAGCCCGGAGCTGCCGGACTGTCCCACCCATCGCAGCAAAGCCGAATAGCAGCCCAGTTTTCCCTGCGCTGTTTGTCCGTCTGTCCAGGGGCCCCGGATCCTCGCGCAGGTCACAGCAGGGCCTGACGGGCTCCCCAGAGGACTGTGGGGAGCAGGGGCCGGGGTCAGGACCCTCAGGGCAGCTGATGGAGGGATGCAGGAGGCCCAGCTGGGGCTCCCAAGAGCTGTTTCCTGTTTCCTGTTTTGTTCTGGGGCCACACCCAGCGATGCTCAGGGCTTCCTCCAGGGCCCTGTGTTCAGGAGTCACTTCCTGGCGGTGCTTGGGGGACCCATCCTGAAGTAGATTCCTGATGTCCCCCATCCGATGGTTCCCCCCACCCCCGCCTCCCTCTGCTTGTCCTGGCGGTGGAGAAGGAGTGGGGCTCGGGGACTCGGGCTCCACACCACCGGATCCCTTGGTGCAGGTGAGGGCCGCTGTGTGTGCACTCTCACTGCAGGAAGTGGGGAGCAGGGCTCCAATCTGGGGGTGCAACAGAGGGGCTTAGGCATCACCAAGGCTGCCCCCCACTCCGCCTTGGTGCCCTGCGGGCAAGGCCGATGTCCCAGCTATGCATTTCCCCTCTGCTGCTCTCGCTCTCTGCCCCGTCGCCAGCCAGGCGGCTGCGGGCTCTGCATCCGCCATTGATGTTATGTTTCTCGAATCCCCGTGAGATACACAGTTCCAGAATTGAGCCTAACCAAGGAGTCCCTCGACCCCCGTCCCAAGGGTCACCTGCAGCTCCCCCCCCCCACACCAAGGCCTGTCTGCTGGCCACTGCAGTGAGGCTGACGGCCCTGAGCTTCTCGGTGTTGAGTCTGGCCAGGTCAGGCAAAGGTGACTGAGCCCCTGAGATCAGAGCTTGGATGGAGCGGGCGACAGTCGAGCTGTGTAAAGACGGTTTGAGGTGGCCTGGGCCCCTGCCTCAGAAGGGAGGCTCGGACCCCCAACACTGTAGCCATGCACCCTGTGTCTACTTTGAGGAAGTGGGGAGCTCGCGGGGAGGGGGGGCAGAGGGTGGGGCCACTCACGTTGGTGTCCACATGTGGGGTCCCGAGGCCAGCCTGGGCGGACCCTCATTGGAGAGGGTTGATGTTAGGTTTCTCAAATCCCCATGAGATACACAGTTCCAGAGTTGCTCGTGGCCGGGGTTCAGTCGTACATGTCCCGACACCCGTCCCTTCGCCAGAGCATGTTTCCCGCCACCAGTGTCCCCAGTTTCGGGAGGGTGGGCTTTTGTTTGGTTTGGGGGATATAGACAGCAGCACTTGAAGACTACTCCTGGCCCAGTGCTCTGGACTCACTCCTGGAAGTACCAGGACGGGCCCATGTCCCCGTCCTGTTTGAAGCTGCCTGAGTCTCACGGTCCCAGTAACTGAGTGGGTGATGGGGGGACCAGGCCCTGGGGCCCTCGGCCTGCCCAGCAGGGGCCATGCCTGGGGCTAGGTGCCACCGTCACTGGGGTCCCGTGCCCTGTGCTGGGGGGCAGTGGCTGAGCTCCTGCACCCTCTGTCATCACAGCTCCTCTCCGAGAGCCAGGAGCACGTGGCCCACCTGGCGAGCTCCATCGGCGACGTCCTAGACACACTGCAGCGGGACCGTGGACTGGGCCGGCCTCGCGCCAAGGCGGATCTGCAGAGAGCCCCGGGCAGGGCCCTGCGGCCCCGGAGCTGCCCTGGGGGTGAGTCTGGGGGATGGGGGTACCTTCTCCAGGAGACCCCACCCCGCTCTTCTGCATCACCCCCACCCCCGTCCGCGCACCAGGCGCCCCAAGCCGGCCTGCGCCCTGTCCTGTCGGCAGAGGGGCCGAGAACCTGGCAGGGTGCCCGGGTGGGGCAGAGCAGGCTCAGCGCTGACCGGCTCCCCCTGCCCCAGGCCCTCGGCCCCGCGACTGCCTGGACGTGCTCCTGGGCGGCCAGCAGGAAGACGGGGTGTACTCCGTGTTCCCCACGCACTACCCCGCCGGCTTCCAGGTCTACTGCGATATGCGCACAGACGGCGGTGGCTGGACGGTGAGTATCTGGCTCACGGGGGCAGGGGGACATGCAGGGACTCAGGGGGGGCTCCCAGCAGCCCCTCAGCCAGCCTTGGCCCTGGCCTGCCTGGGGTCCGATGGCCCCCTAAAACTGAAGATCTCCACACCTCCGGAAAGCGGCAGGTGGAGGGCAGACGCCCCCGCTGGGGTCAGAGCCTGGACCTGGCCCCTTCTGCTCTCTGAGCCCAGCACTCCCGGCTGTGGTTTTCGTGGGCGTGAGCTAGGCTGGATTTGCCCAGAAACCTGTGGGCAGCGTGAGGTCAGGCCCACAACGGTGTGTGCCCATGAGGGGCGCTGCTGTGGGGAGCAGAGACCCCTGGGTGCCGGGTCCAGGCCAGCAGCTGTGACTGCCCCTCTGCACTGCCCTCTGCTTCCTGTGGGGGGCGGGAGGGAGCCAGGGGAGGGCAGAGAATTTCCCTGGAGCCTGGAAGAGAGGTGCAGAGGAGCCGTGGGGGGCTGCCTGGCACAGGTATGGACCCCCACCCCTCTGGCCCGGCCGTGGCTGTGCCCAGCACCGCGCAGTGAACACTAGGATCCGGGTCTGTGGTGTTTTGTCACTGTGTCCACCAAAGCGGCCTTGTGGGCTCTAGAACCACGTACGCACATCGGAACCTTGCGGCCGTGGACGCAACCCCGTGTGCGCGGCTCTGTGGCACTGGCCCAACCTGGGGAGCCAGCCCTGCCGCCCAGGGCTGACTATGTGCAAGGTCAGGGGAACTTTGAGCAGGGCTGCAGGGATAGGTGCAAGCCAAGGCCCTAGGCAGGGCCTCAAGGCCCACCTGAGCAGTGAACAACCTGTGCCACCGTGCCAGCCTGACTCCTGAGCTTCCCGGGCACAGTGGTTGGGTGAGCGCAGCCGTGCCAACACTGCGTGCACCCCCAGAGGCAGAAATTTCTGGAGGGAGCAGTCCGCATGTGACGGGAAGCTGAGCATGGCCCTTTGTCCTGCATCCGTCCAGCAGGGGGATGGAGGGAGAGGTGGGCAGGCCAGGGTGGGCCGGGTGGGGCCGTTCTGAGGCCTCATCCGCCTTCAGGAGGCAGTGAAGGCGCCACTGAGCTCCCCCCCCCACCCGTGATGGAAGTTTCTGGAAAGCACCATGCAGGCTCAGACAAGCGTCTGGCACAGACAGGAGCCGCGGCCTCTGGGGGCGCGAAGCTCTTTGTTTCCCTAACTCAGGACAGTTGAGTTACGATCGCGGCCTCAGGGACCCCTGGGCGGGCTGGCAGGCGGGGGAGCAGCAGCCGAGCCCAGAAATCAGAGTTAGGGCCGGGACAGACGTGATGGGGGAGTGAGACACTGGCCTCCACCCAGCGCCGTCTGCGGGGGGTCTGGGGGGGCCTCCTGGGGGGCGCAGAAAGCTAGGAGAGGGGGATGGGCAACTCCAGGTGGGGGTCTCCAGGCAGAGACCGGCCAGGGACTCGGCGGGGAGGGCGCTGCGTGCCTGGTGCGGCCCTGACGGACGCGAATCTCCCTTCGCGTTAATCTCCATTTGTACATCGGGCCTGGGCTGAGGAATGCGGGCAGACGCCTGCCGGCCGCCATCACCGTCTCACCACCCCGGAGCCTCTGGGTCGCTCAGCCGCCCGCGGTGGGCGCCTGCACCATCCATCCTCCTTAGCTCTGGCTCAGATGCCCGCCTGAGTGGCCCCCGCCGGCCCACGCGGGTGCTGGCGTCTGGGCTGGACCCCGCACCTCCCCACCTCCACCCCGGGGCCCAGCAGGACGGGCACGGGGAGAGCAAGGGAGGGGGGCAGGCTTCGGTGCTCCCCCTCCCCCGTCCCCGCCAGCTGCAGAGGCCGGCTCTGGAGGACTGCGACCCTTGCTGGCACATGGTGGGGGGGGCACGTGTTAACCCCCCCCCATGCAGCTGTGACTGGGTTGGCACGGGAATGGTGCAGACCCAGGTGGGGGCCAAGGGGAAACCCCCATTTGGCCTGGGGGAGCAAGGAAGGCCTCTTCCAGGGGCACCAGCAGGGGTGGCGAGTGCCAGGCAGAGTCCCAGCAAAGGGGCAGAAGTGGGGGCCCCCAGAGGCTGAGGGGGGGTCCTGGCCACTTCTGCTGGGCGCACAGCCTGAGAGGGGCAGGTAACGGGTGTCTGGGTCCCCCCATAGGGGACGCAGGCATGGCTGTGGGAGTCGGGAGCTGGGTGCAATGGGACAGAGGGCTGGAAACTCTGGTCTCAGGGCCCCCACTAGACCCCCAGGCATGGGCAGGTCAGGGTCCCCCATGATCCTGTGACTCCCCAGTCCCAGCGAGGATGCACAGTCTGGGGTCCCCAAGCCATCTACGTGCTCTTGGTGGCCCGTCTGGGTGCCTCTGAGGCCCCTTCACCCCAAGGCTCTCATTTAGGGGTTAAAGAGGCTCCCCCCCAGGTGCCGCTTAGGGAGGGGGAGGGGTCTCCAGGAGCAGAGGGATGTGACTCCATTCTCAGCCTGTCGGGGCTTCCTGGGGTCCCCCCCCTGCACCGTAACCCCCCAGGGGCATCCACAGGCCCCTGAAATGGGCTCTCTCCACACCTCACCCTTGGGAGGGCCATAGACCCCTGCACACAAACATACACACATATGCACACATGTACACATATGTACAATGCCCATAACACGTGCATAACACGTGTACACAGCACATTTGGTACACGGACATGCACATACACACACATGCATGCAACCTCTCCTACCCGGCTGCCCCGCCCCCTCCACACTGTGCCCCCCTCCCCCCGCACTGTGCAGGGCCCGACTCAGACACCCCCCCAATGGGCTCTTCTGTAGGAGAAACCCCCTCCCCACTGCGCCCTTGGCATCTTGTCTTCCTCCAACAGGAGGAAAATCCTCCCCTGGCTGGGAACATCAGAGGAGGGAGGAGCGCCCCAAACCCCTGCAGGCAGCAGCTGGGACCCTGAAGTCAGGTCTTCGCTGTGTTGGCCCTGCCCAGATTGATAAATGGGGCCGGGCCCCCCTCCCCCCACTCCAGCCGGAAACAAGGACCGTGCAGGGAAACTGAGGCCCAGGAAGGTTCCGTGGCTCACGTGTGGCTTGCGTGTTGAGACTCCAGCCCAGCTTCACTGGGAGCCTTTGCGTGTGTCTACACCCCGCGCGCCCCTGGGCGCTGCCCAGAGAGACTCAGGTGCGGGCATCAGGCACGGCTGCCTCTAGATGCCCCCTCACCTGCACACGGAGAACACGGAATTCTTTTTTTTTTCTTTTTGGGTCACACCCGGCAATGCACAGGGGTCACTCCTGGCTCATGCATTCAGGAATTACCCTTGGCAGTACTCGGGGGACCATATAGGATGCTGGGAATCGAACCCGGTTTGGCCGTGTGCAAGACAAAAGCCCTACCCACTGTGCTATCGCTCCAGCCCCTGCACACAGAGTTCTTTATTTTTATTTTGGGGGTGTCTGGAGGACCCTGTTCGTAGGCTCAGGGGTGACACGCTGGTGGTGCTGGGAGACCAGGTGGTGCCAGGGATGGAAACCGGGACTCGGTGGGCAGAGAGCGCTCAGCGCGCTAGACCAGCTCTCCTGCCCTGACTAGACTCTCAAATTCTTTCGTTTCTTCTTTGACCACCCCCGGTGGGGCTCAGGGCGGACTCCTGGTCCTGTTCTCAGGGCTCACTCCTGGTGGGGCTCAGGGGACCCTAGGGGGTCCTAGGGATCGAGCCCCGATTCGCTGCTTTTTTTTTTTTTGCTTTTTGGGTCACACCCAGCCGATGCTCAGGGGTTACTCCTGGCTCTGCACTCAGGAATCACTCCTGGCGGTGCTCAGGGGACCATATGGGATGCTGGGAATCGAACCCGGGTCGACCGTGTGAAAGGCAAATGCCCTACCCGCTGTGCTCTCGCTCCAGTCCCGATTCGCTGCTTTTGAGCCAAGCACCCGACCTGTTCTGCGATGGCTCCAGCACCTGCTCAAGTTCTTCTGAGCAAGAATTAAGCACAGTCACTGCCCAGGGCCACCTGCCTGTAGGGACCTTACTGAGGCATTAGTGGATGACCCCCACTGTACCTGCTTTGAAGGCTGGGACCTGCTCACCTCCCACCTCCCCCATCCCACAGCCCTGCTCAAGTGTAGTTCAACAGAGCAGCTCCTCCAGGAAGCCCTCCGGGACTACTCCAGGGCTGCTGCCCCGGCAGGTGACTCCTCCTGTGAATGCTCAGCAGTTGTTAATGGTTGTTGCCATTTATCCATCCAGCGCCCTGCATCGACCCACATGTTTAACCATCGCTGGATCCTGGGGGCTGTGATCAATCCCCATTTTACGCATGAGGAACCGGAGACCCAAGATGAAGGGAAGTGACAGGCTGGGGACTGGGCAGCCCTGCGGCCGCTGCCCACGTCCCCGCCTCTCCTGGGCTGGGAGCTCCTGAGGAGGACCAGAGTGGCCCCTGTAGCCCACACATGCCAGCCAGTGCCTGGGCACTGCCCGCTCATTAGCGGGAGAGTCGCAGAGCGTGCGGCGAGGGACATGCCTGCCCGGATGTCCGCCCGCCCTGACCCCCCCAGCCATGGTGAAGCCCAAGGGAGCAGCGGGCACCCAACCCGGGCCCCCGTGCTCATCTCCCTCTTCTCACCCCAGTGCACCCCAACCTCAGCCCTGGGTCCCCGCCAGGCAGCTGTCCCCCACCTGCCTGACTGCAGCCCGTCACCCAGCTGTGGAGGGTGGCCAGGGACCGGCCCGGGGGTCCGGCCGCACAGAGGCACATGGGGTCCAGCCTGTATAAGTCCTGTAGTCGGTGCCCTGGGGGGTGGGCCTGGGTGTGACCCAGGACCTGGTCTCCATGGGGCCGGGGGTCACAGCTGACAGCCATGGACTGGCCGGCCCCTGGGACCCTTCCTACCACCAGCTCTGGTGCAGGGGCCGCTTCCTCTGCAGCGACCCTGCCCAGCACCATCCGCAGGGCCGTGTGGACTGTGCCTCCTTGGCAGGAGCCCCAAAACCCTCAGAGCAGAGCCCCCAAACTCTGACAGGGAGCCCCAGACCCGGAGCAGAGCCCCCCAACCTCCAGAGGGAGCCCCAAACCCTCAGAGCGGAGCCCCATAACCCCCACAGGGAGCCCCAGCGCCCACCCCCAGCGGCACTTGGGCACCATGACGCGCCCGGCTCTAAGGAGCGACTCCATGAAGGCGCGTGTGTGTCCATGTGTCCGTCTGTGTCCCCGGCGAGCCGGTGTGCATGGCATTTACCAGCAAGGACTTGGCCGCCCGCACCCTGGGGGCGTGACCAGGCTGATCTGAGCCCTGGTGGAACCATGCTGTCCCCGCAGTCGGGGCTGTGCAGGGTCCCTGGTGCCTGCACCCCTCCCCCACTTCCTGCCTCGCCATCACTGCGCTGTAATTGAAGGTCTTCCTGCCCCGCAGTGACAGCTGCCACCAGCCTCCCTCCGGGCAGCTGTTCCCAGAAGCCTGCAGCCACAGCTGCAGCAGGCCTGGGCCTCAGCATCCGAGACCCCCAGGGCCCCAGGATGGCGGGCAGGGAGGGGAGCCCAGGAACGTGGCAGTTCACGTTGGAGCCCCAAGGAGCAGGGCTGGCACCCAGGCCGTGGCTCTGTGGTTTCTTAGGGTGCAAACAGGCGATGGGGCTGTCTGTGGTGGTCTGGGGGTCCCCGGCTGCCGCCTGGAGCCTGCACATCCCACGGGCAAAGCCTTTGCTCCGCCCCTTTGAGCCGCCTCCTGCCCCATGACAGGCTGGGGGCTTCGATCCGGTCATTCAACCCAGCTCGATCCCCAGCACCCCATAGGGTCCCCCGAGCTGCGCCAGGTGGGATCCCTGAGCACAGAGCCGGGAATCAGCCCCGAGCACGGCTGGGTGTGGCCCCCAAACAAAAGAAAAATGAATCCGAAGTGGCTGAGGCCAGGCAGACGGAAGCTGCGCTCCGCGAGTTCCCTCGCTCGTGCCTCCTCCCTGGGTTTCTGGCATCGGCCTGTCGGGGTGTCCGGGGCGTTTCCCTGAGCCTGGCCAGTCTGTGTGCCCCCTTTTGCGCCCCCTTTTCCGAGGCACAGTCTAGACTCGGGGCCCCGGGGGCGGTTGGCCGTGCCTCGTCACTCCGAGTGCAAGTGCTGCGTCTGCGAACGTTCCGGAAGTGCTGAGCTGTGGCCAGAGCCGCCAGAGCCGCGCCTCGATCAGCAGCTGCCCAGGGCCCAGGCACACCCGCACTCGCGTCCAGCCCGGCCATCACTGACCCCACCTGGGGGGGGGCTCAGTGGGGACAGGGGCAGCTAGGCCTGGCCCCGAGGGGAACCCATGGCAGGGCAGGCCCCGGGCCTGGTGCTGAGGGCTCCGGCAGTGGGTCAGCTGGTCCCAGCCCCACACAACCAGAGCTTTTTACTGTCCTTCTGGAAAGTTCCATGCACTCCGGGGCGGGCTCCCCAGGCTCCATAGCATGGGCTCCAATAGCTGCCCTCCCTTCTGCTTCCTGCACCCCCTCATGCCCCTCTGTCCAGTTTCCAAGGCACCTGTCTTGCCCAGGGCCTGCAAGACTCCCCTGGTCAGGAGGTAAACAACAATGACGGCTGTAATAATACCCAGTGCTCAGCAGTGAGGGAGGAGGGCGACGGCCTAGGACCCCTCCCATCCTCCAGGGTCAGCCCAAAATCTCTACCAGAAGCCAGCCTGCTCCCTGTCCCCCCTCATATCAGCCTCCAGCCAGGTGGCGGGATGGTGGCCCTGACTCAGTTTCCCCAGCCTGCTCCTAACCACTTCCCTGGGAAGTACTTCATAGAGTATTTGAATCCTTCCAAGAGATGGGGGACTGGAGGGAAGTGGGGGGCCAGAGCTGAGCCCCGAGTTTATTCCCAGTGACGGCTGTGGTTTGAGTAGGTGCCGCCATCTCTAACTCACAGATGGGGAAACTGAGGCTCAGAAAGAAGGAAGTCACAGATCTGTGGCTGCTGTGCCCCCCACCCCCCGGCCTCCCCTGGGCCCTCCCACTCCCACCCAGGGGCTCCAAACATCTGCCAGGATTCGGCCTTGGCCCTGCCGTGTGGACGTTCTCCGTGAGAGCGAGGCCAGGCCGGGTTTGAGGAGCAGGAGCAAGAGATGGGGCGGGAGGGAGGCAGGAGACAGTCCAGGGGTGAGTGGGGAAGGGGAGGCGCTTGCCTTCCTGGGGACCCCCTCCAGGAGTCAGCCCTGAGCACGGCTGGGTGTGGGCCAAAGCCCACCTGGGGAGACTGAGGCAGACGCTGTCTCCCCGCACCCCGATGCCCAGCGAAGCCCCGAGGATGGTCTAGATGCCCCCCGCAGAGCCTCAGGAGTGAAGGTGCTTAGTCAGGAGGGCCGGGCCGGCTGCCGAGACAGAGGGAGGGGAAGGCTTGTTACCCAGAAAGGGCCGAGGGACCCCCAGGAACGGGACTGTCAGCGGGTTTCGTAACTACCCCGGCAGCTGAGCCTGGCTGGCGTGGTGCTTGTTTCAAAGCAATTTAACTGCTGGGATCCCCGGCTCCCAAAACAAGAATGTTATTAAAATGAGGTGCAGAGGCCGCCGGCTCACGCCCGGGGAGGCTGAGAGGGGGCCCGTCTATGCGGGGGCGTCAGTGGGCTTGCCTGAACACACACTCTGCATGCAGGAGCCTCGGGTTCGAGCATCCCCGGGCACCGTTAAACAGTGCCCTCTGTGACGGCTGGGTGCTGTCCCCACACTGAACCACCGCAGAGAGTGGGGCTAGTTTGCATCTTGATTTAGGCTCCATGGTTCACAGGCTGCGCCCCGCAGGACTTCAGACCTGAGCTCTCCCGCCATGGTCCAGGCCCCCACATGCCTCGAAGCCCCAGCCCTGCTGCCCCCGGCCGGTCTGCCTCCCACACCCGGCACCCGAGGGGTCCTCTGCCCGTCCCTCTCCTGACTCTGCTGGGGCTGCTGCATCTCACCAACTCCTTCCACACAGCAGCTAATTCACGCTTCCGTTTGCTTCTGTTTTTCCTTACTGCACACAGGCTCTCCGTGGGGGCTAAGGACCCCCGTCTCCGTGTCCACCCCTCTGATCTCAGTCCCAGTTTATCTCCTCTTTTTTCTTTTTTCTTTTTGGGTCACACCCGGTGATGCTCAGGGGTTCCTCTTGGCTCTGCACTCAGGAATTACTCCTGGCAGTGCTCGGGGAACCATCCCGGATGCTGGGGATTGAACCTGGGTCAGCCGCGTGCAAGGAAAACACCCTCCCCGCTGTGCTATAGCCCCAGCCCAGTCCCAACTTCTCTTAACCCGGGGAAACCTTTGAGGAATCTGCCCCCCTATTTAAGGAGTGGGGAAACCGAGGCCCAAGCTGGAGGCACCAGGGGTCCCACAGCAACCTCCACACCCCCTTGCCTCATCTGAACCCCGGGTCAGCAGCAGAGCCATGAATGGGGGCTTGGGGGGGCTGTGCTCACTTTCCCCACATACACAGGTGTTTCAGCGGCGACAGGACGGCTCCGTGAACTTCTTCCGCGGCTGGGAGGCCTATCGGGACGGCTTCGGCAAGCTCACAGGGGAGCACTGGCTAGGTGAGCACCCAGGCGTCTGCGTCCCCGGTGGGCACCGTGGTGGGGAGGGCAGGTGGGAGGGTTCCCAGGAGGTGAGCTGGGCACGCAGGCGGCTCAGGGCACCCTCACACTGCCTGGTCCTGGGGACCGTGCTCAGGACAGTGGGGCACCCGGGATCTTGCTTCCGGAAGAGAACTCTGCTGTCTAGCCCTGCCTGGTGTGGCCAGGGGGTCTGGAAGGTTTGACTCTGAAGAGAAACAGTCCTAAACAGCACAAGTCGGGCCAGTTTATTTGGGGGAGGGGGTTGTGGCCGGAGGTGCATGAGGATCTGGGGTGTTTCTCTTGTCTTTTGGGGGGGTCTGTTTTAGCTTTTAGGCCACATCTTGGCCATGCTCAGGGCTGACCCCTGGCTCTGCATTCAGTGATCGCCCCTACTTCAGGGATCACCACTAATACTGTGTGGGGAGCTATTGGGGGGTGGGGGTTGAACTGGGTCGGCAGAGCGTGGGGGCCATTTCCAGATCATTGCTCAGGGATCACTCCTGGCAGTGCTGGGGGCCAAACCCGGGTCTCCCACAGACAAAGCCCATGCCGTGCTGAGCCACGCCCCAGCCCTGCCGCACGATTTCAGAGGTCCCAGCGCTGTGGAACCGTGACCTGATTTGATTCTAGAACATTCTCCTATGCACACCCTGAACCGTCCATCCTGCCTATTCCTGTTGGAGAAGACACCGGGCAGCAGACTGTGTCTTCACACGATGCCCCTCATGACTGGCCCTCCCCGGCAAGGGTCCAAGAGAACATTCCAGTAGGCCGGGGGCAGTGGCAGGGCTCAGCAGGGGCTGTGGCCGCAGGGCACCGCCTGTGGGCTGAGAGCCAAGGTCTGGGCACAGTGGGATCAGGAGGCCCCCAGGCCTGCAGAGAAACCCAGGAAAAGGGGTGGGGGCTGGAGGCAGGACTCCGGGGGACCACCTGGGCATGCGAAGGGCACCAGGCAGAAGATACGTGCGGGATCCCAATAGCCTGGCCAGGAAGGGGCACTGCTGGGCCCCCCTTTAGGGGTAAGGAAACAGACCCCGAAAGATGTCATTTGGCAGTGACACATCATAAGCCTGTATGTGTGTGTGTGTGAGCGTATGTGTGTATTGAGTGTGTGCATGTAAGTGTGTGTGTGTAGGGGGAGACCTGGTTGAGCCTCTTGTGGGCCGTACGAGCTGGGGGAAGTGGGTCTGCATGGGTCTGTATGTGTATGTGGACCTCTGTGTGTTTTGTGTGTATCTGCATGTCTGTGAGTCTATGCATGTGTGCGCGTGTGTGGGACTGTGTGTGTGTCTGAGTGTGTATGTGGGTCTGTGTGTGTGAGGCTCTGAGTATGTGTCGGGGGTCTGAGTGTGTGTGTGTCTGTGTGTGTGAGAGCCGGAGTATGTGTGTGGACTGAATGTGTGTGAGTCCGAGTATGTGTGTGGGTCTTTGTATGTGGGTCTGAGTGTGTATGTGTGTTTGTGTGTGAGTATCTGTGTATGTGTGGGTTTGAGTGTATATGTGTCTGAGTGTGTCTGTATGTGTCTGTGTGTATGTGTCTGAGTGTGTGTGTGCATGTATGTGTGTGTGTATATGTGTATGTGTGCATGTGTGTATGTGCACGTGTATCTGTGTGTGAGGGTGTGTATGTGTATGTGTGTATCTGAGTGTGTGTGTACATGTGAGTGTGTGCGTGTGTGCATTCACAGGATTTGCAGTTTTGAGCCTCGAGGCCCTTGCTGAGCTGAGTGCTGGAGGGGACACAGCCCCATCCCCCCAGGGTGTGAAGCCAGGAGAAGTTGCAGTGTGGGGTGGGCCGGGGGCGTCCCAGCGCCGCCCACCAGGAGCAGCGGGGCGAGCACTTTGCATCTTAATTGAAATCTCCACAGCCTGAGCAGGCGGCAGGCTTGTGGGGCCTTGATGAGCTCCTGGCAGCCCTGGCCCTGAGGAGAATGAGAATGTGGCTCCCGTGGACGTGGGCTGGCCTAGCCCCGCACGCGCCCCCGTCCCCACTGCTCCTACGGTGCCCCCACCAGGGCGCTGCCCCTCCTATTGAGTCATAGAAACTCTTTGCATATTAAGGTCATTGCCCCTGGACAGGTCGCTGCAACACCCCCAACTCTCCTTTGCCGGCTGTTCTTTGGTGACACGTTGCCCATTCCTAGAAGGCTGACCTTTCCTGGCGTCACCTCGCCCTGTCCCCTCTCGCCTCCTGGGATCTGCGCCCTGCATCCCCCTGGCCCCGGGCCCGATTTTCTTTCTAACAGAGGCAGGAGCCGCTCGCCGTGCCCGGCACAGACCCTGCGTGACGCTGGGCAGTGACGCTGGGCACGACTGGAGTGGGCCTGGACGGCCGAGCCCAGCCTGAGCGTTTTCCATGTCCTGTGTTCTGTGCCGGGTTCGACTCTTTCATCTGGCTCGAGTTCGCTGCGGGAGGTGTGAGGTTTCCAGGGGGCGGAGGGGGGGGGGCTGTGTTTGTTCTGTTTCATCCACCTACAACGCCTTCATGTTCTGTGCGGTTGGACTCGGGTGGGGGTGGGGCCGCTCCCGGCACCATGGGGGGGAGCAGCGGGGCTTGAGCACAGGCTCATTAGCACAGGCCCGAGAGACCCCAGGAGCAGGGGGGAGGGGCTATGGGACTGGGGGAGGCCCGAGAGGAGGCCCCCAGCCCCAGTGGAACAGCCTCCAGCCCCAGTGTGACGGCGCCCTCCTGTGGCTCTGGGCCGGCACCTGGGGCAGATTCACACAGTGGCACAGAGCCTGGGGCAGGCCCTGGGAGCTCCTGAGCGCTTGGCGGGCAGCTGGGCACCTTCTGGCACCCTGCGGGAGCCGGATACAGCCAGGACGCCTTGGGCAAGGTGGGGTCAGGTCCCAGCTTGGCCACCTGAGCCGTGAGCCCCGGCTTGAGTCCCGGCCTTCCCGTGCTCCCAGCCTGCCGTCCCGTCCCCAACTTGCACCCAGGCTAGAATCCCGGCCTGTCTGTGCCCGTCTGCACAGGGCAGTGGCACCACAGGCATCTGTCCAGTTGCCCACAGCTGCTGGCCCTGGGGGGACTGGGTGGGTGTTCCTCCCCAGCTGCCCAAGGCGGCGCAGTGCTCGGGGCACTTGCTGATCCCAGTTGCACGGGGCCCCGAGAGCTCAGACAGAGCAAGTGTGACCTGTGCCAGGTGGCACAGCTGACTGTCCTTCACGGCTTAGCACCTTGCCCCCGGCGTGGGCCCCCTCAGGCCCGGCCCGTGAGCGAGAGTGGGGCCCCAGGGGCAGGGTATTGCAGAGCAAAGCAGGGGATCCTCCGCACAGCTCTCAGTGCCTGTCTCCTCCCTGGGTCCCTGCCAGGAGAGGCACAGGGACAAGCCGGTGACCCCGAGACCCGGCTCAGTTCTTGCCTCGGGCCGAGTTCCAGGTCCCCGAGCTTGAGCAGGGTGAGGCGGGAGAGCTCAGCGCTCTGGAGAGGACAGGGGGGCAGGAGGGGCTGGTGGGGGGCTGTGAAGTGTCACCGGCCGCTGATGACCTGTGAGGCTTAATTAAGGCGCCCTGTAATCAGGAGGTGATCAGACTGCAGGGAAGCACGGTATGTGAGAATGTGTGTGTGTGTGTGTGTGTGTGTGTGTGTGTGCGCGTGTAAGTGCGCATGTGTAGGGGGGAGGCCTGGCTGAGCCTCTTGTGGGCCACACGAGCTGGGGGAAGTGGGTTGGGGCGTGGGTCTGTGTGTTTTGTGTGTATCTGCATATGTCTGTGAGTCTGTACGTGTGTGTGTGTCTGAGTGTGTGTGTGTCTGAGTGAGTATGAGGGTCTCTGTGTGTGAAGGTCTGAGTGTGTGTGTCTGAATGTGTGTGTGGGACTGTGTGTGTCTAAGTATGTATATGGGTCTGAGTGTGTGTGGGGGGGGTCTGAGTGTGTGCGTGTGTCTGTGTGTTAAGGTCTGTGTGTATGAAGGTCTGTGTATGTGGGTCTGAGTGTGTGTGTAGAACTGAATGTGTGTGTGAGTCTGAGTGTGTGTATGGGTCTTTGCATGTGTGTCTGAGTGTGTATGGGTGTCTGAGTGTGTGTGTCTTTGTGTGTGTGTGTGTCTGGATTGGCGCAAATCCAGATCATGGACACAGGTGTCGGCTTTTCATCCACCATGCCAGCATGCATTGAGCACCTACTGTGCACCAGGCCCCGTCAAACCTCACAGGTGAGCTGTCATGATGAGTGGTCAGCCCCCGGCAGGTGCAGAAACAGAGAAGTTCCCACTGACAGGGGCTTGCCAGGGTGTCCTTCGCCCCAGCCTGACCACCAGCAGCCTTCCCGAGCAGGAGGGGACCAGGCGAGGAGCAGGGAACAGAGGAACAGCCTGTGTGGAGGCTCAGAGGCCAGTTCTGGGAGCTGTAGCGAGAGCAGAACCACCCGGTTGGAGCCGAGGGGGCACATGAGGGAGGTCCCTGCCGCCTGCTCCCCAGCAGCCCCTGACACCTGTCAGCCTGTGGTCTTCCCACCAAAACGCCCACTCGCAGCTTTGAGAAAACCTGCAGGAGACGCTGCTGGTCCCCCTGGGCTCCTGCCAGCCCCCGGCCGGGAGGAGGAAGTGGTCGAGGCTGATGGACAGAGTTGGGGGCATCATCTCCTGGGGTCCCCAACTTGTCCCCCCATACTCTCGTGCTCTGCAGGATTGAGGCGCATCCATGCCCTGACCACACAGGCCACTTATGAGCTGCACGTGGACCTGGAGGACTTCGACAACGGCACGGCCTTCGCCCACTACCGCAGCTTTGGCGTCGGCCTGTTCTCTGTGGACCCCGAGGAGGACGGGTACCCGCTCACCGTCGCGGACTACTCGGGCACTGCAGGTCAGGCCCCAGGCGACGGAGGGGAACCCTGACTCCACCTGGTCCTTATTCCAGCCACAATACCGGCGCCCCTGGGTTATCTGCCCATATTGCAGATGTGAAAAGTGAGGCCAGAGCCAGAAAGGCGGACACCGGGATTGGGGCTCTGAGAGGCCTCTAAGGACCTGTGGCTGCAGCCCCCGCGAGCTGGGTTTCTGCGGGAGAGAAAGCAGAGGAGCGAATGAGAAAGCTGGGAGGAGGGTTGGGGGCTGCAGAGACCCAGGCCCCCAGTGGACCGGGGACGCGTGGGGCGCGCGCGGGGGCGGGGCGCGCCGGGGGCCCGAGTCCACTCCCGCGTGTGCGTCCGGCAGGGGACTCGCTCCTGAAGCACAGCGGCATGAGGTTCACCACCAAGGACCGCGACAGCGACCACTCGGAGAACAACTGCGCCGCCTTCTACCGCGGCGCCTGGTGGTACCGCAACTGCCACACGTCGAACCTCAACGGGCAGTACCTGCGCGGCGCGCACACCTCCTACGCGGACGGCGTCGAGTGGTCCTCCTGGACCGGCTGGCAGTACTCGCTCAAGTTCTCCGAGATGAAGATCCGGCCGGTCCGAGAGGACCACTAGCTCGGCGCCCACGCCCCGCCCACCCACCACCAGGCCCCGCCCACACGGCCCCGCCCCCATCGGCCGGCCCCGCCCACTGCCAACAGCCGCATCCCGCCCTATGGGTCCACGGCCGGCCCCGCCCACTGCCAACATCCCCGCCCCCAAAGCCTCATAGGCCCCGCCCCCACGACAGGCCCCGCCCACTGCCAAAAGCCCCGCCCCACAGCCCCACCCTGCCAAATTGGTTTCTGCTCCCTCCGGCAGGCCCCGCCCGCCCGCCACGCCCATTGCCGACAGCCCCGCCTCCGTCAGGCCCCGTCCTCCTTCCCGGGACCGTCTTGCCTCCAACTCTGGTCCCCTGCTGCTGCGGCTTGCTCGAACTTGGCACCCACCCACCTGGGTGGGCCAGACTCACCCCGACATCAAGTCCCACGGGGCGGGCTAAGGGCGTGTGTCAGTCACCTTCGTACTGTCCTTCACCCCCAACCGACCTCTGCCGTGGGGAAAAAGAGCAAATTCGATCACCCAAACTCCGGCTGTTCCGACTTGGGTCTGTTCCAGCTCTGTTTGCGTCCGCGCGACCCCCACTTTGCGGGGGGCACCGAGAAGGGCGCACAGGGCGCTCCCGGGGTCCTGGCAGAGGAGCGAGTGTTCGGACCTGTGGGGTCAAGGGTCAAGAGGTTCCGATGGCCCAGGACTGTGCTCAGAGTCGAGTCAGACCATGTTGGGGCGCAGCTGCCTGCGGGAGTCGACGCCCCTACCTGGAGCGCTCCCATTCCCGTGCGTTTGCGGAGATGGAGCCCTTGGGCTCGGGGGTGTCCGTCCGCGCCTCCCTGGGCAGTGGGGCTCCCCCAGAGCAGTTTCTGCACCTCTGCTCTGGGCTTGAGGACGTCTAGCTCTTTGGGGCTACAGCGGGTCTCACGCCTGCCCTCCTCAATTCCCAGGAACCGGGACGAGGCTTGGTGAGGGTCGTCACCACAGTCTGAGGCTGCTGCCCCCTGCTGGCCGAGGCAGGTGCTGCACCTACGCCGGGGAAAGGTGGGCTCAGTCCTTGGGTTAAGGGGGCGGGGCGTGAGGCTTGCAAACACACACGGACTTCTTGCTGACGCCCCCTCTGACCTCGGGGTCCCAGGGACGGACCACGACCCCTCGACCTCAGCTTGTCAGCCTTAAACCACATGCATCAGCCATGGGAATGAGCTGAGGTTCCTGCTGGGGCCTGTTGGGGGGTGGTCTTCCCACTTCAGACAAGGAGGGGAGGTGTCCCTACCAGACCCTCTAAAGCAGACAAATGAGAAGTTGGGAGGCTGCCCCCAGAGCTGGCCTCCGTCCCCACACAAGTGTCACTGGCTCCACGGGCACTGGCCCCTCTGCCTCTGCTGGACATCAGTGACATAAAAGCTTTCCCGGGCGTGTGTGGCCCAGCCGAGCCTGGATGTGTGACAAGGGCATGTCCCCTCTGCTGGCTCCAGGCTGGAAGCAAACAGGTGCCCAGGAGACACGGGGTGCAGCAGGGACCCCCTGTGTGGCGGTGGGGAGAGGCGTGAGGGCGCAGGGGTGAAGGGAAACCCCCTGCTTTCTCCTTCCTCCTCGCCCCTGCAAACAGCCCAGGGGGAACAGCTGCAGCCAGTCCTGCCCAGGGCCGAGAGGTGCCCAGGGGCTGCTGAGTTAGTACGACGACGCTGATCATGGTGCTCGGCCTCTGTGGGCATGGGGAAAGCTGTGGCCAAGCAGAGTCCCAGCCCCAACCCAGGACTTATCATGGGGGGGGACCCCCAAGGCCACCATCCCTTCCCAAAGGCTGCCAATGAGCCAAGTAGCCCTGCCCACCCCACCCAATGGTGCGGGGTGGGGGGGGGGCTGTGAGGAAGGGGGTCTGTCCCCAGGGACCACAGCTGATGGCTGGGGGCACCTGTGGCTATCCCATGCCCCCCACCCAAGCCCCCTTCTCTTCCTCCCTCCCACGTGCAGGTGTGAAGAGCGGGGGCAGGGTGGGGTTCAGGGTTGGAAATTTTGCCCTGAGGTAGCTGGCGCAGGTTCTGTGGGACCTGCTGGCAGTGCCCTAATCTCTGGGCAAGTGCCCTAATCTCTCTGAGAGTTAAACAGAACCCCCACCCCGAGTGAGATCCCGGCTGGGCAGGACATGGCCAGATGTGGGGGTTTGCACCCTGCTTCTTGGGAGGGAAAGACGGAGCCAAGAGCCCTCCCCGATGGCCCCCGACCCGTGTACACGGAGTGAGGGTGTTTGCTCTCAGGCAGCGGCCCCAGGCTGAAAGAGAGGGGTCACTGGGTGCCAGCAGCCCCCGTGGGGACACACATCTCAGTCTCTTGGGGGTTGGACGACACCCTGGGTGCTTCAGAGGGGTGCCTGAAACTCAGAACAAAGGTCACCAGCTGGCCCTGTGGCCGAGGTGTCCATGCCTTCACTGCTTACGTATGAAGGGGCCGCCGTGGGCCACACTGGAATGACCGAGGCACAGGTGCTGGCCTAAGTGCCTGAAGCTTGGGCCAGACACTGGGCAGCAGTGTTGCCCGATTGTTTCGTGGGGTCACCAGGCCCCAGGATATCCTGGATGTCCCCCACTGTCCAACCCCAGTTAGTTCTGGGCCCTGGAGCAGCAAACCCACTGAGGCTACTGGTGGGGCTGACCCCTGCACTTCTCTGCGCGGGGGGGGGGGGCGTTGCCAGCCCACAGGTGCTTTGGGGCAGCAGCCTGGGCCTCTCCTCCCAGGGGCACTCTGTCCCGTGGGTCTGTGCGTCTGGAGCTGTGGCAGGGAGAGCAGCCATGGCAGAACAAGGCCCAGAGTCAAAGTTTCCAGACCAGACTCTCCTTGGTATAGTCCAGAAAATGCAGAGTTGATGGCTCCAAGCAGGGTGACTAGAAAGTGACTGCGCTGTTGGGGTGCCAGCCACCACCAACGCTGCCTCCTCCACGAAGTCCAACAGGTCTGAGCCAGGTCTGAAGGTGCAGCCAAGTCGCAGGGACATGGGGAACAGCGCCCCTGCAGCCTGTGGTTGGTCCTGGGAAGTGCAGGTCACCTCTTGCGGGGATCAAGCCTGACCATAGATGCCCTGTGGGCCCAGTGGGGGAGAGTGTGGGCACTTGCTGAAGCTGAGGGTCAGGGTGGGGAGTCCCACTCACCCCATGACTGCCCCCACCCCACCCAGCACCGCAGTTCTGGGTGGGGCGCAGGCAGGAGGCGGGCAGGGCCAGCACGTCCAGGGCCTGTGGTTCCCGCATGGGCCTGGAGCACCAACCCCCACCCGCTTGTGTGAGACCCCCCGGGGACTCTGGGCAGAGCACTGTGGGCCCCGCACACGTGTCCATCCCTGGAAGGGGGGAAGCCGCCCCAGGAGGGTTCGGGGGCATTGGCGCCTCCTCCAAGGAAGCCCAGTTCTGGCCTGTGGTTCCGCGTGAGCGCCGTGGCGTCTGGTCAGGGGGGCGGGCCCACATCCTGCGCCTGTCTGGGGGGCGGGGGGGGGTTTGACGAACGCACAGGCGGTCCTTGCCACCGTGCCCGCAATGGAAACCCAGGGACAGGAATGCGGGACAATCAGGCGGGCGCCTATAAAGCGGGAGCCCAGCCTGCCCGCCCCAGCGGATCTTCAGTCCCGCAGGGTCCGGCTGCTTCCTGGGGTGCGACCACAGCACGGTGAGTCCGGCCCCCCACCCTGGGGCGCCCCATGCCTGAGGGCCCTGCTGCTGCCTGGCCCCCGCCCCGGCTTGCATGTTGGGGACTGGAACCACAATTTGGGCTGTGACCCAACGGGCCGGGACCGTGGCATCCCCTGCGGCTCTTGTTTCCTCCGTGGGGTTCGGAGTGGGAGCAATATGGCAGGGTGGGGGCTGCCTGCGCCATCAGCCTTGGACCCCAGACCCTCCACTTCCAGGCTGTGGGGTGGGACCCCAAGACCCTGTTGAGCCAGGACATGGGAGGATGATGCTTAAGAGCACGGTCCTTGTGCCGGGGATGCCTGACCCTGCGTGGTGTCATGGCTTTGCTCACGACCCAACCCATTCAGGGGCTGTCCACGCGAGGGGCAGAACAGAGTCCCCCGTAAGCAGCTCCCTGTTGGTCTGCAGTCCTCGGCCAGCCCCGCAGCCGTCCCGCTGTCAGCCCAGGCCGTGGCCGGGAGGGGCTGCTCCGAGCTCCTGAGGGCCCCTCCGCCCCAGGGAGCCTTCGGACGCTGTGGGTGGGGGGATGTGTGGGACCCCCTGCTCCAGCCTGACTTTTCTCTCTCTGCGCCAGATGGTCAGCCCGTGCGCCCTGCGCCTCCTGCTCCTCCTGCCGCTGGCCACCTGCTCCCCTTGGCTGGACAGAGAAGACCCCGGGGGTGTCCAGGCAGGCCCGGTGACCTGGGCCCAGGTGGCAGGGGGCCACCGTGTCCCGGGGGGCACCGCTTGGAGGCTGAGAGGCCTCTGGGCCCCCGCCCTGCTGGTCACGGCCAGAGAGCTGTCGAGCCGAGAGCAGGCCAGCTCTGGGGGCCCCTTTATGAGGCGTGAAGACGACCAGGAGGCCCCCGACTTCCCCCCGGCTGACAGCAAGAAGGCCCCTGGGCCGCTGGGCACCCTGGTGGAGGGGCTCCAGGGCTACGGCAGGAAGAAAGGGGGCTTCAGCTTCCGCTTCGGCCGCGGGTGAGGGGCGCCAGGGAAGGGTGCCTGCCCCCCGCCCCCCACTGCCTCCCCTCAGCCTCAGAGACTAAGAAAGAGACCACCTGGGGGTCTTCTGATCACCAACTTGGCTGAAGCCAGAGCCTGGGACGCACTGCTTGTGGGCTGAGAGGCAGGGGCTTGGGGTGGTGGAGCCCCCACTCCCCCTGACCCCCGCATGCGGCCCCTCCCCGGGGCCTGGTGGTGGCACCTGCTGGATCTCCGATTTCCTGCGGGATGGAAAGGAAATGTGGCAGCAGCCTCCTGCCCCCTAACCCCGGCCGCTTGGGCAGGAAAAGGGGTGTAGGGGTGGGCTGCTGCCCAGCCTGGGAGGGGGTTGGTCTCCCGGGCGAGGCCCCCTTTCTGGTGCGCCATGAATGCGCACGGGGTTGTTGGAAATAAACGTTGTTAATAGCTGCCCAGCCCCCGTGGGGGCTCTGGTCTCACTCTCGCCAGGATCTCCGGCCGCAGGGGGTACTTGGGACGGAGCCCCCACCTGCGCCCTGTCCCCATCCTTCTTGGGTGTGGGGTGAAGGCCAATTGCAGGCGTGGGGGATCGAGGTGGGGGCGTCCGCCCCGGTGCGGCTCCCCACTCCTCTCAGGCCTGAGAATCCTGGCAACGACTCCAGCCCGGGGGGAGCCCGGGGCGAGGGGCGCAGCTCTTCAAAGGTGCCGGACCCCGTCTTGGACCTGAGCCGCTATTGACGTTGCCATGGAGACATCTCCCCACCCCCTCGTGAGCCGCTGCCGGCCCCTGCTCACAACCGAACCATTTTCCATTGAGCTGTCACCATTAATTGGGGGATTTTTATTAGCCTTTTAGAACCACACTGGGCTGGGCCCAGCTTGGCTCCTCAGAGCATTCCAGCATTTTCCATGCTATTAGGGACGGACGTTCCTGCTTGTAGCTCCGACTCAGTGGCCAGAGCGCCACTTCATTATGGGGTGACAGATCTGAGTCAGAGGAGCCCCACGTGGGCCGGGGACAGACACAGGGGGCCGGCAGCTGGGGTCGGCACATCAGTGCACATGGCAATCTGGTGCCTGTCGCTGGGAGCTCCTGCTGGCCCCTTGCGTCCCCCCACCTCAGCCCATGCCTGTGACGGTGCGGTCGGGGACACCAGCCCGGGAGACAGGCCAGGAGGGCAGGTCTGACAGCGGGGAGCCCCATGGGGGTCACTCCGGGCTGGGCGGAGGAGCCAGGGGGGTGTGGGGGAAGGGGGCTGAGCGGATCAGGGGGGTGAAGACCTGTTCTCAGGGTCTCTCCTTCTACGCCGCAGGGCTCCTTCAGGGGGTCTGCAGCTCATTCCTGCCCTGAGAATGGCAAACGGGGACGCCCCTCTGGAGACCACCCTGGGGTGCCTGAGTCCACTCCGGCATTGTCCAAATCTGGTCTGCCCCTGGGGCTCTCTGGGTGGTAGAGGGCAGGGGAGCCCCACCACAGTCCCCCAGCGTGCAGCCCCCTTCATCCGGGTCACAGAGTCTGCTTGGCGTGGGGGGACACTGCTGCGCACGGAGGGGGGCTGTCCCGGACGTCATGGAAGGTGGCAGAGAAGGGGGTGGGGGCCACTCGACAAGCCCCTCCTGGCCTCCTGGGGTTCAGCTTGCCCTACTGCCCCCCCCCACCATCGTCTGCAAAGGGTGAGCCCTGACACCAGACCAACATCACACCAGAAGCCCCAACACCAGCCGGCCATGGGATGGTGACCTTGGTCCAGCTGCACCCGAGGTCCAGCCTGATGATGACTGGGACCCCACCTTCCTCGCAGAAAAGGGCTCCTTCAGGGGTCTGCAGCTCACTTGCGCTCTGAGAATGGCAAACAGGAACGCCCCTCTGGAGACCACCCTGGGGTGCCTGAGTCCACTCCGGCGTTGTCCAAGCCTGGTCTGCCCCTGGGGCTCTCTGGGTGTGGCATGGCAGTCCGGCTGAATGTCCCTGGACCCGGGCAGTTGGGGGATGCGGTGTGGTTCCAAGCAGACAGGAGCTGCCCTAAGTGCCCTCGATAAGGGAGGCCCTGCTCCTGAGGGGTCCCCCCAGCCGGAACAGAGCACAGCTGTGGCCCTTTATGGCCCTGTGGTTCTGTGCCCGGCGACCTGAGCCTGAGGCCAGGAGCGAGTGGTGCTGTGTCTACTGTCACCCGCTGTGCACAGGCACCTCTGGCGTTTCCTGTGGCCTGGGAGTTCTGAGGGAACCTGGGGTCACTCACAGGAGCATGTGCAAGGCTCGGGCTTGGTGGCTGGGAGAGTCCCCAAGCACCTCTTGGTGTAGATGTGAACATAAGTCCCGAGGCTGATCTGGACTCTCAAGAACCAAGGGGGCTGCCTGTCCTTTCCTGGCCCTGCTGCACTGATGGTCAGGAGCAGCATCAGCTGGGCCAGTGGCCTCGCTGTCGTCAGCCTTGGGAGCTGTCCCTGGCATCCAGCATGGGGTTCAACTGCCTCCGTGGGACCTGAGGCAGGTATGTGGCTGCAGGAGGTCATCACAGGCTGACCCTTGCTGCCCAGTCCCTCTGAGCTGTCTGCTGGCATTTGTAGGCATGAGCCAGAGACCACTCACGCTGACACGGGCTGGGCAACACAGAGGTCACTCCTGGCAGTGCCTAAGGGGCCATACAGGATGCCGGGGATCAGACCTGAGCGGCCTCATGCGAACCAAGCACCCTGCCCACTGTACCATCACTCCGGCCCCCTGGGCAGTGGGAAACAAGGTCAAAGGCCAAAGAAAGAGAAGAACACCCGGGGCTGGGAAACCCTTTCAGGGAGACGGGTCCCACTGCAAGGTGCCAGGCGCACGACACGGGACAATCAGGGACCAGAGCGGGCCCGGGTGAGAATGTTGTAAACATTTATTTAAAAAAGGCTACGGAGCAGAGAGGTGGACCCCAGACACAGAAACAAAATGTACTGGACCAAAAAGGGAAAGAAACACAACACAGGAAGCCGACCCAGAGGCGTTCCGGAAGGAATGGAAGGTGGGCAGAGGCCGTCGCTGAGAGCAGGCGTGACGCTGAGGACAGACGCAGGCTCGGCGTCTGCAAGGCCGCTGGTGGTGATCGAGCCCCGTCCAGGGCAGGGGCAGGCGGAGGAAGGGCTGAGAGTGGCCATGGGGGCGACCGTCTCAGCCAGAGAAAAGGCCAGTTCTGGTGGTCAGCGCAGAGCAGCCGTGTGGCCGCTCCGGGGCAGGAGTCGGGGCCCTGGTGCGGGGTTGACACCAAGGTCTGCTCGTCGGATGGGTGCTGGGGGCGCCCCTGTTGGTTCTCCTCGTCCCTGACACCCAAGAGGCGGAGCTGCGGGTGGGCGTGAGCTGGGCGCCACGCGGGCAGCTGCTCCTGGAGGGGCTGTGGTGCCATCGGACCCCCCAGTCTCCTTCAATGCAGGTATGTTGGTTGTAGTGGCAGTAGGCCAGGGGTCACTCAGAACCCTGGGCGCGTGCGCACGTGTGTGTCTGAATGTGTGTGTGCGTGCGCATGTGTGAGTATTGGTGGTGGTGGGCCAGGGGTCAGGGTCACCCAGAGCCCCAATATTCTGAGCCACGTGCAGCACGAAGTCCCAGCCCCTTGGACTCTCGTTCCCCAGGGTCAGCGGTGCGGGCAGGGATGGCACCCCGCGTCCGTGACTGGAGGCTGGCTGGCTTTCGCGCTGTTCTGGACACCGCCCTGCCCCCTAGTGCTGTCTGTCCCTGGGGACATGCCGGGGGCCCTTGTTTCCTGGGGGCAGGGAGCGCAGGAGGAGCCCCCCGGGAGTGTGAGGAGGGAGAGCTGGTCCTCCCTGGGGCCGGGCGTCGCCCCTGCTACCTCTGCACGATGTCACTGATCTCCCGCACGGCGCCCAGCAGCTTGCTGAAGTCCTGCGTGGCGGCAGGGCCGCTGGCCGCCGTGGCCGGGCAGATCTGCAGCTCGCGGAGGTGGTTCTCCAGTTTGTTGATGGCCTCGCGGAAGGCGAACTTGTTGCGCATCTGCTGGATGGAGTCCACGTAGCTCACGCAGAAGGTGTACAGGTTCTTGCCGGCCTCCAGCACGGCGCTGTGGCTGGCCATCTGCTCCGAGTTCCTGGAGATGGCCAGGCACAGGGCCTCCGTGCCGTCCAGGACCACGCCCTTGGTGACGGTGCCGCTGGCGATGCGCTCGGGGGGCTGCCGCGTCTTCCGGAGGGACACGCGGGTCGATATGAGCGGGGTGAAGGCGGTGGAGGACGGCGGGTCCCCGGCCAGGGCCGCCGTGGCCGAGAGTGGCGCGGCGGGTGCGGGGCTGCCCGTGGCGCCCGCGGGCCGGGCCGACGACTGCGGCTTGGGCGCCGAGGGTGGCACGGGCTTCCTGGAGCCCTCCCCCAGGGGCCCGGGCTTGGCCTCGCAGCCGCCAGCGTCCACTGCCAGAGCTGAGGAGCCCCCTTTCCGGCCGGCGCCTGGCTCCCCCGCGGCGTCCGGGCTGGGGCTGGGGCCGGGCTTCCCCCCTTTCCCCAGGGGCCCGGCAGGAGGCGGCGGGGGCGCCGGCTTCAGCTTGGCCAGTTTCCCCTTGTCCTTGCCTGGGGACTCAGAGCAGGGCTTGTGCCGCCTCCCCCGGGCCTCCTCCGCCGGGGCCTTGCCGGCCCCTCCTGGCCCCGTTCTGCTCGTGGGGGGCGCGGGCTCAGCAGCTGCCGGGGTCCCCGCAGCGCCCGGCTTCCCGCTCTCTTCCTTGTGGGGCGGGCCCGCGGCGGGGGCCATCACCTGCCTCCGCAGCAGTTTGGGGGTCAGGCTGGGGGGGCTGGAGCCGGGGCTGGCCTCGGCGGGGTCCCGGAAGACCTCGTCGGCCGCCTCCTCCGTCTTCTTCAGCAGCCGCGGCGGGGGCGTCACCGTGCCGCGGGGCGCATGCTCACTCCGGTGCTCGCTGGCGCGCTTGCGGGGCAGCGCCGGCTTCTCGCTGCGGTGCCCGGAGAAGGTGGCCGCGTCCAGCTGTCTCCCCGTGGACTGCAGGTCCCGCGGCAGCGTGACCGAGCGCCACTCGGTGTCCCGGGCCCCGTGGGGCACGCAGGAGGCGGAGCAGGAGCGCAGGAAGCGCTTGCTGGCGCTGCCGCCCGCCTCGTCCTCCCCGGCCGCCAGGCGGCTGCTGGTCAGCGTGCTGGACTTCTTCCACAGGTGCGGAGAGCGGAAGCCGGCGCCCCCGGGCTCCCGGAAGGCCCCGTTGGGGACACCCGCTCCCGCGCCGGCCTTCAGGGCCTTGGCTGGCTCGGCGGCGTCGGGGGGCGTGAGGGCCGGCGCCCCGTTGCTGAGCTCGCGGCCCAGGGCGTCTTCGTCGGCCGCGCCCCTGCGCTCGGGAGGCCCGTCCACCTCGCGGAAGGAGCTGCTGCGCTTGGGCGGGGTGGGCGCCGTCTTCTTCTTCTTCTTGATCAGGGCGCTGAAGAGGTTGGGCTTCTTGTCCTTGGGCAGCAGCCGCTCGTCCTCGCTCAGGCCGCCGTCCTGGGGTCCTCGCTCCTTGCGCGGCAGCAGCGGGGACACGGCGGGCTCCGGGTCCAAGGCCTCTGCGACACACGGAGCCCAGGCCCAGGTGAGGGGGCAGCGGGTGCTGAGTCCTCGCGGGACCCTCAGGGGACACGGACCTCTCCCGGAAGGAACAGGCTGGAGGAGACAGTGGGGCCCACCCCCACCCCCCTGGCCCTGATTTGGGTCCAGGAGCGGGAGACTGACAAGGCCCAGCAGCCGGGGGCAGTGCTGCAGGGCTGAGTGACAACAGGCAATTACCCTAGAGATGCCTGAAGGGTGACCTTTCAGGCTCTCACGGCTTCTGTGCCCACAGCGCAGGGGGGCCGGGGAGGGGACGGGCAGCTCTGAGCATCCCCAAGTCCTGGGACCCGGTTCCACAGTGCCCACAGTGCGCAGACAGCTGTGACTCAGGCTGGCCCAGGTCCATCTCCCCCCAACAGCCCCCCCTGAGTGTGGGCTGCGCCTGGGCATGGCCTAGGTCAGGGGGTACGGGCGGGGGGTGGGGGGGGCACACCCTCTGGCAGAAGGGCAGCGCCGGAGCTGCAGGCCCCAAAGGAGGCTCGTCTCCCAGCCTGGAAGGTGCCTACCTGTCTCCCCGGGGCCTCGGGAGTGGGCCGCCTCAGGCCCGTCCGTTGGGTCTCTGGGCTCTGTGGTGCGCCTGGACGTCCTCGTCTTGGTGGGCAGCTCTGGGGCCTGCAGCAGCATCCCGGGGGCCCCTCGCGCTCCCTTCTTCCCCAGCTCCTTCTCCACTTCTGCGGCCCGCCAGAACCGAAAGGAAACCCATCGCGTCAGAAACGGGCTGTCGGCACAGGGCCCCACACTCCCGTCTCCAGAGCCACACTGTGCTGACCCCCCACTGGCCCTCACACGGACACCTTACCATCGGAGATGCTGGACTCCTGGAACATCGTCTCGAAGGCCTGGTGGATTTCCGCGAAGGACGGCCGGTCGGCGGGGCTCCACTGCCAGCCTGCAGGATGAGACCCAAGTCAGGCCCTGATGACAGCTCCAGTCCCACTCTCTGGCCCCTGTAACACGGTTGGCCGTGACCACTGACACACCACATGCCCTCGAGCAGACCTCCAGGACAGGAAGACGCTGGGGACTCGCAGGAATGCAGACTGGGGAAGTCCCAGGCCTTGGACAGCCAGGCGAGTGGTGACCCCATTCCCCAGATCTCCGGGCGAGCGGAGAGTCACGGAGCCCGTCAGCCACTCCCCTACAGTGGCGGGGGGGGGGGGGAGTCACACCTTCCGGGAACCACAGAGCGAGTGTTCCCCGTGGACGCACAGGTGGCCAGCAGACACCCAACGATGGTGGGGAGCAGGCGAGGGCTGGGCGAGAGCCCCTTGCACGAGTGGGCTGGGCCGAGGTGCAAAGGGCGGCTATGTACGTCGAGGCCCGAATCCATCATGGGCACTGTCTGGTCCCATGAGCACGGCCCTGGCACTGCCAAGAGTGGCCCCCAAACAAAATAATAAAGCGGCCTCAATCACTCTGCAAAGATTAGGTGGCAACAGCAGCACGCAGCCCGGCGGGAGGGAACGGGAGTAGCACTCTGCTTCCGGGCAGGACAGACGCCGTGCCACAGCCAGAGCAGGGGATGCCACTAACGGGGCTCGCAAGACGCACTGCTACGGCCTCCCAAGCACTGCCAGGTGTGGCAATGGCAGCTCCCACCCCCAACAAAAACAACAGATGGGCACAGGCTGCTGGGATGATGGGAGAGTCTTCCGGAACATTTGGAAGCAGGCTGAGGAGTTAGTTCCTATCAGTGAGAAACCCAGGCTTCGTATTTCTCCGTCCCGTGTCTGCACCAAAGGCAAACGAACAGCGACGATGACGAGAGCCCTGGGAGAACATGGTCTGCAGGGGAGGGGTGGGAGGCGCCAGGTGCGGACTCACAGGCTCGCATGAGCTCGTACACCTTCTCTGGGCAGCCCTCTGGGCGCTCCATACGGTAGTCCTTCTCCAGCAGCTCATACACCTGGGACAGGTCGATCCCGGGGTACGGCGACATGCCGTAGGTGGCGATTTCCCAGAGCAAGACCCCGAAGGCTGAAAGAGACAGAGGGGCTGCTTACTGGGTGGGAGATGACACTGACCCCCACACCCCGGGGCAAACTCACGTCTCACCCCACCCACGCAGCCCACCAGGAAGTGTGACCTGGCGGGGAGCGTCCACAGGGCACCCAGGAGCCCGTGTCTGTTCTGAGGCCTGAGGCCAGCCCACTGTGTGCCCCACACAAGACACTCAGCGTGCAGGGTCACCTCCAAGTCCCAACTTCAGAAACGGGGCGAGGGGATGTGCACTACTTTGGAGTGGCCCACAGCCCGACAATTCCCGCTCTGACAGAGGAGCAAGGCTCCCGCAGTGAGGGGTGCCCGATGGCTTTAAGAAAGGAAATCCCAGGGTTGGAGCGGTAAGACAGTGGGGAGGGCGTCTGCCTTGCACACGGTCAACCCGGGTTCGATCCCTGGAATCCCATATGGTTCGTTCGAGCACCACCAGGAGTGATTCCTGAGTACAGAGCAGGAGAGCCATGTCTCTGCCTCCAGCTCTGCCTCTCTCATGGGAAACTGATTCCAGAGTCCTGAGAGACTGATAAGACCCCGCGATGGTTCCACACACAGAGGGCAACTCTGCACACTGCACCCTGCCCGGCTCTCCAATCAACCTGTGCCACAGAGCACAGGTGTCAGGGCTCTTGCCTTCTGTGAGCCCCCACCCCCCCCAGGATCCTGGGCACAGAGCTAGGAATATGCCCTGGGCACTGCTGGGTGTGGCCCCAACACAAAGCAAAACAAGCTAATCTGAATTATTTGGGGAGAGGAGGAAGGAAGGAAGGAAGGAAGGAAGGAAGGTAGGAAGGAAGAGAAAGAACAAAAGAAAGAAAAAGAGGAAGGAGGGAGGGAAGAAGGAATGGAAGGCAGGCAGGCAGGCAGGCAGGAGAGGTGCGCGCGCGGACAGCCGCCCTACCCCAGACGTCCGACTTGATGGAGAACTTGTTGTAGGCCAGACTCTCGGGCGCGGTCCACTTGATGGGGAACTTGGCACCTGCGTGCGCGGTGTAGGTGTCCCCTGTCATCAGCCTGCTCAGGCCGAAGTCGGCCACCTTCACCAAGTGGTTCTCCCCAACCAGGCAGTTCCGGGCCGCGAGGTCTCTGCGGGGAGAGGACAGGCGGTGAGCGCTCCGGTGACTTCCCAGATCTGCCCCATGGTCAGTTGGGCCCCAGAGGACGTCCGAGCGTGAGCTCTCCACGGGGGGTGCAGCACCTGTGAGGCTGGGGTGCGGAGTGAGTGGGCCCCTGGCCCATGAGCCTGGGACTCGGGTACCACCTTGCGGGCTGCTATGGGGGTACTGGGCTGACACGTGGAAGTGCTCTCCTCCCGGCTCCAGCCCTGCCAACTCCACACGGGGGCCGCACCAGCACGAGCGCCACGGGAGCTGACCAACAAGGAGCGAGGATGCACTCCAGGCCACTGCGGGTTTTGTTGTTGCTCATACCTGGCGCAGCTCAGGGCTTAATGCTGGCTCTGGCGGGGCTCAGGGACCGTATGGGATGCCGGGGATTGAACCCGGGTCGGCTGTGTGCAAGTCCAGTGCCCTGTCCGCTGGACTATGGCTCCGGCCCAAGGTCACGGCATGCCAACCTGTCTCCTCTCTCCCGCTTCTGATGCTTAGCCAATGCATCCTGAAACTCCTGCCCAGGAGAATGGGCTTCCGCACACCTCCTGACTGTCGGGGAAGGTGGGAATCTAATCTGCTTCCCGGACGTGAACCGTGAAATCACAAGTCACACAGGACTGCAGCTAGGAGGGGTGAGGGCTTGCGCAAGACCTTGATCATCAGCAATCAGGAACACCAAACGCAGGACAGTGGAACCCTAATCGGATTTGGGCAAAGCATTTCCAGTTTGCTTCAACGGAGAGGGGACAGGCCCAGCCGTGCAAGGCGAACCAGAGTCAAGGATTCTCAATTTGCAGCCTCTGAGGGCTCCCCGCGGCACTGACGGGGGCGGCTGAAGCACAGGCCCGCAGGGCGCAGAGACTGTCTGACAAGGACCTGCCAACATCTCACGCGCGGCTCCGGGGCCTCGCTGTGAAAGCTCATGTCTGCTTTCGTACTTGAGTTAATTGGGTAGGAAAGGTCGCTGCGATGGCGTGGAAACATCTTGTCTAAGAGGCTTGGGCCAAGCCCGTCGCGGCGTCAGGCGGCCGTTTCCACCGACCAAGAATGCGGGGTGCAGTTAATCGTGGCCCACTGAAGGTCAAGCCACTCAGCCAGAGAGCAGGTGCTTTACCCAGCCCGGACACAATGCTACCCCGGAAACGACGGCGGTTAAGTGGAAGAGGAAACGATAATCAGGAGAAAGGAGGGAAACATCCCACACAAAAGCAGAGCCAGGCCCGGCTGTGGGCATGAGCGGAGCGGGGAGTGGGAGGAGGGCCCCGGAAAGGTCACCAGCCCCGCAGGAACAGCACCCCCCCAATGCCAGGGGAGCGGCGGCTATCAGGGGGAGCCTGGTTCACAGGGTGGCCCAGGCCAACCACTGCCTGGCTGCACCCCAAAATAGGCCACGTAAGGAACGCGGCGTCTGCCTGTCTCCTGGCGCAGCAGAGCTGAGGTCTCGGCACCCCTGTCTACCTGTGGATGAAGTTCTTCTTCTCCAGGTACTCCATGGCCGAGGAGATCTGCGTGGCCATATAGAGCAGCACCACGGCCGTCACCTCCTGCCGGTTACACTCGCGCAGGTAGTCCAGTAGGTTCCCGTAGGTCATGAACTCGGTGATGATGTAGAAGGGGGGCTCCCGCGTGCAGACCCCTGCAACAACAACGAGGCCCTCCGCAGCCTGTTCTGGATGGAGGCCGAGCTGCCCTGTGGCCCAGGACCAGGCCCCAACGTCCCAGCCTGGATGGAGGGCCGCGACCTTCCTCCCACCACCCAAGTCAACAAACTTGACCTTCAGCAGGAAAGGCTGCAACTGAGGTCAGAGGTCAGGCTCACGTGAAATCAAATAGCACAACCAGTTAGTTCACCCCCAAAGGTCATGTCTGAGAGTCCAGGACAAGCGGCACACCTATGCATACATGCACACATCACACACTCAAATACACACGTGCAAGCACACCCATACGTATGCACATCTACCTGTACAAACATACACGCAAACACATGCACGTGCACCCAAACACACACCCACCCACCCCGCAGACCTGCACACTCACCGAGGAGCTGGACCAGGTTCGGGTGCTTGATCTCCTTCATCACTGCGGCTTCCTTCAAGAACTCCTCCACTTCCATGGTGTCCTCCTGCCGAGAAGCGGGGTGCCGTGAACCCCACAAGGGAAGAAACAAGTGAAGAGGCCACACCCTCAGCTCTGTGTCTGGATTCTGGATTCTCCCCAGGGCTCCTCCCAGGCGCCCTGGACGTGGGGAGTGCTGGCCTCTGGGGGCAGCTCTGCGGGCCCCAAGTTCCAACATGTGCTGGCACAGACGTGTGGGGGTGTACAGGCGCCCCAAAGAGCAGGAGGTTTCCGAGGGCTGCACAAATCCTCGCCATCCCTGAAGGCCACGGTCCCACCTGCAGGGAGAATCTGAGGCCCCACCAGGCTCTCTCCCTGCCCACCACAGCACACGAACAGGCGGCACCTGTTGTAATGGGCACGCGCCAGCGCACTCACAGCTGAGGCGAGCTGAGGGATTCCTACATCCCTGCCTATCTGCGGGGTGCCTGGCTTGGGGAACCCTCTGACTTTGTTTTAGGGTCACACCTGGTGGCGCTCGGAGCTTACTCTGGGCTCTGTGCTCAGGGGCCACTCCTGGCGGCACTCCAAAGACCAGATGCAGTGCTGGGGATGGGGATGGCAACTAGGTCGGCAGTGTGCAAGGCCAGAGCCCTCCCCGCCGTCCTCTCTCCCTGGCCCTGGAAGGACCCCCTGACAGGGCGGCGTGTGTGGGTGAGGCTGCTGCCCTCTGGAGTAGCCGCTGAGAGCAGGAGAGAGAAATGCATCGGTACCTGGTCGCCCGCCTGCCAGTGTCAGCAGCAACGGCGGCCGAGGAGAGGGGAGCGTGTCCTGCGAGCCGGTCTCCCCAGTGAGCCCTGTCAGCATCTATGCAGCAGGGCCTCAGAGGAGTGAGCGTCTCCTGTGGCACTGCACACCCCCACCCCCACCGGGGCCCTCCAGAGGACAGGCCAACCTCTAGCCAACTCTCTGGCTTTGGGCAATCAGGTTTACAAACGAAGCATGACCGATGAGGAGCCGTGACAGCTGTTATCCCGGAGCTCAGGGCTCGGTGGCTGAGACTTGGGAACAATTGATCGCACCTTAAACGGTCTGCTGCCTACCATCAATTAAACACGGGGGGTGGGGGGCGGGGGGGGTGGGTGTGGGGGTCAAGTTGGGGCCACATCTGCTCTGCAGACCACACGGCATCAGGTGGGGAGGGGCTTCCGGGGGACAGGGGGTGCCACAGTGCCCCCAGAGTGGGCCGGGCTTTAGGGGCCTGGTCAGCCACCGCAGACAGGCGTCTCGGGGGAGCACGCGGGAAAGGGGTCTCTGCTTTCTCAACCCCCTGATCAACGCAGGAGGGACTCTGACGGCTGGCGGCCCTGGTTCTCGAGGACTCGAGGAGCGGCCCGTCCCTGCCACCCCTGCCCAGGCAGCACGCCGCATCCTCGGGGGTTTCTCCTGCAGGAAGATCGGCGGGAGCTTGTCTCCCTCTGCTGGGCTGTACCTGGCTGCATCCGGGTTTAAAGGACGACCAGTGCCGGGCAGGGGGCGGCTGAGGGGAGATGCCCAGCTGGCCTTTCACGCTCAGACAAGCAGCGCTGGGAGGCCCCGGCCAGCCCCATGCTGGGCACACCTGGAGTGAGCCACGGGCGGGGCTCACCTCTGCCGGCTTCTCCCACCCTGGAGCTGTGCCCAGACGCGCTCTCCATTTCTGTCCCTCACAGATGTCCCACACTCATCACTTCACAGGACTCTCCACTTCCTCTGCTCACTGGCCTCATCACCCCCCGCAGCCCCCAGGTACTTGTGCACAAACACACAATGGGGGCCACTTGGGAGACATCTGGGGGTGCTGGGGAGGTTGTGGTGCTGGCAGTTGCACCCAGATTCCTACACAAGGCGGGTGTGCATTCCAGCGCTCAGGGCTCACTCCTGGCTCTGTGCTCAGATCCTTCTTTGCTCCATCTGCTAAAACCAGCGCCCCCACCCGGACTAGCACCCCTCAGCACAGCACCTGGGCCAGGACCAGCACTCCTCAGCACAGTACCCAAGCCGGGACCAGCACCCCTTAGCATAACACCTGATCTGGGACCAGCACCTGAGCAGGTGCTCGGACAAGGAACGACCACAAGACATACAACCTGGGCACCAGATGGCAGTGCAGGGCACGTCCGGCCATGCATTTGGGGGGACACACACCACTTGGGAACCTGGGAACAGCGAGCAAGGCGGGGGGGAGGGGAGACCAGGGTGCCACTCTAAGCCACATTCCCCAGCGTTGCTGCCGTGACTGAAGCAGTGAACGTGTCCAGCCTAGCGCCATGATCTGATCAACAAGACTTGTCCAAAATCCACAGAACAACCGACCCAGAACGGGGACAGGCCAGCTGCCCATTAGCATCTGGTGCCCGTAGAGGGCCGCGCTCGTGGGGCAAGGGCCAGCTCAGAGGGCTGGGGCACATGCTCTGCATGCTGGGGCTCCGGGTTCGACCCCCCACAATGCCCTTGCCCCAAGCGCTTCCAGGTGTGGCCCCTGATTGCCATGTGGGCGACAGCCCAGCTCACAGGAGGGGGAGGCGAGTCCAGCCTCCGCCTGGCAGGCCGCAGCCCACAGAGCTGTGCAGTTGCAGCTTCCCACCCGTAGGGGTCAGTCTAACTCCAGTCTCTTGTGGTTTCTGTGATGGCCCAAGACGCATCATGACCTGGGGCTCAGGGGCACAGTGGGAAGGTTCAGGGGCTCAGAGGGGAGCTGGTTTTGCACGATGGGGGGCACAGGCAGGAGTGACCTCTGAGCACCACTGGGTGTGTCCTAAAATTCCAAACAATTAAACCGGTAGTAAAATTCAATCTGGAAAATATCCTGGAGTCTTGGAGGTTCACCCCGAACCCTGCCTCTAACCCTTGGCCACAGGTGCCGGCCCTGCCCCAGGGCTGCTCTGAGGGACCATGGAGCATCAGGACGCCTCCTCTGAATCCGGGGACCCCGGAACAGTCTTCTTGCAGTGTCAGCCCAAATCTACCTACCCCATTTCCTGTTTCTGCATGCAGGAGCCCCTAAAGATAAGTGTCTGAGTGCCCACCCGGAGTCTCCCTTGTCCTTGGGGTGGGGGTCATTGGTTCTGTCCACACATCCCGACTGAGTTCCTTTCCAACAAGGGTGAGAATGCAGGGAAGAAGCCCAGAGAATATTCTGGAGGAAGTTGCACATGACCATTCTTCCTTCCCTCCACACTTAATGCACTGGGCACCCGCACCATAGTCACAGCAAGGGCAGTGGACCTGGGGCACCACCCATGGGGCCACTGCACTGCCCTCTGCAGTCTGAGGAGGGGGGGGCGGCACAGAGCCTGGGAAAGAGGAGCACCTCCATCTAAACCCCAGGACGAGCCGGAACGGGGACGCCGGCCTGAGCAGCGCCCACTTCCAGAGGGCACCCCTGGACCAGCCCTCCGCCTCCCGTGGGACAGTGCCCAGCACATGGGCACCCCGGGCCCGGCCCAGTGTACAGCGCGCGGACCCACCTTCAGGGTCTTCACGGCCACGGTGAGGCTGTACTTCTTCCACACGCCCTCATACACCTCTCCGTACTGGCCCCCACCCAGTTTGTGCTTCATGGTGATGTCCGTGCGCTCCATCTCCCACTTGTCGTAGTTGGGGGACACGCCGTAGACGGTGGGCTTGTTGCGCTTGGGGGCCGGGTAGTGGAGGGTGGTGATGAGCCCGTCGGCCACGGTGGAGTGGTGATGCACCAGCTCGGCCAGCGTGTTGAAGCGACTCTCTGAGGACACGTAGAGCTGAGAGAGGAACAAGAGTCAGCACACAGCAGCGGCTGGCCGAGGACAGCGCCAGCCCGGGGCAGCAGCTGACACTGGGTCCTGGGCCCCAAGCGCCAGACGCGGGCAGGGCACGGACGAAGGTGAGCGCACACCTTGGGCAGAGCACGGTCAGCCCACGGCAGTGGCTGGCCTGTGGACAGCATCAGCCCTCAGCAGTGGCCGTCCCGGGGAGCAGGGTCAGCCCACGGGCAGTTGCTGTCCCACGGAGCAAGGTCAGCCCACAGCGGCCATCCCACGGAGATGCCATGCGGGGGCCCAGGGGACCTTGGCATCACTGCTGCTCTCTCTGCACCCTCCTCCCCCAACATTCTGAGCCCTGATGACATGTCCATGCTCTGCATGAGGCCAACCAGGGTTCAAGTCGCGGCATCCCATAAGGGCCCCTGAGCTCTGCCAGAATATGGACAACGTCAAAGAGAAAAACGAGAACAAAACAGTTGGTTCCACTGATAACCCTTGGGGGCTAAAGAGGACTCCTTAGCAACGATGGAGCCCGGGCCCACACCCAGCAGTGCTCAGGGGTTGCTCACGCTTGGCGGAGCTCAGGGAACTATATGTGATGCTTAGGGTCAAGCCTGGGTCGACCACATGCAAGGACAGCTCCTTTCCCACGGCACTTTCATTCGGGCCCCCTGGAGTCTTCTGGGCCACACCTGGTGGTGCTCAGGGCTTACTCCTGGCTCTGATCATACTGAGAACCAAGCATGGGTCTGCTGTGTACAAGGGAAGTTCTCTGCCCACTATACTATCTCTCTGCCCCATAGTCTCATCCTCAGAACCGAGCCAGGAGGGACAGGAGACAGCTGCAGGACGTGGCTGCACACGGCCCTAGGCCCTGGACCATGCAACGCCTCCCCCCAAACACTAGACGCGGGTCAGGCCCGAACAAACAGTGGAGCACATGCCTTGGACTGCTCGATCCTCAGCCCACACTATATCTGAGCTTGTCGCTGGCACCGCACTTGTGGCCCCCCAAACAAAACAAAACGCCAAAGCTCAGGCAAGCCAAAGGCCTCCTCTGACTCAAGGGTCACCGTTTAGACACGCTCGGCAGCGATCCCCAGAGCAGGACTCTAAGTGAGCCAAGAGTCGTGCAGATGCCATCATGGTCCCAGGAAACTTGCTTCCGGGTGAGGCCCTGTCCCCTTGGACAAGGGGACAAGTACCAAGGTGTACTCGGGGACAGGCTCTGTGGGACCCCGCTTGAGCGCTGCAAGCACAGGCGGAAGTGAGTGCTGCTGAGCCTCTGTGCGCATGACCACTGCCCGCACCCCCGTGGTGGCCACACACCACCAGTGCCTGCATACCCATGATATCCTGTACACCCCCAAGGCCCACACACCTACTGTGCCCACAGCTCAGAGCCCATGTGGACAAGGGGTTGTGCACTTGGTCGGTGTGCAATGGCCTTGCGGCCGGCTGCAGATTCTCCCAAGCTGTTTGCTCAGAGGTCTGCTCTAAGCCTTGTGGCAGCTGCTGTTCCTTCCCTCCAGCCCACATCAGCAGTGCTCGGGAACCCTGGCCAGCCCCTGTGCTCGCCCGCCCTGCACGCCAACGGTGCCTGCTGACCAGGCAGCCTGGGCAAAGGTGGTGCCGCTCTGGACATGCAGGACCCCAGGGAGCCTGGGCATGTGGAGGGGCTCGCTGGCTGCCCTGCGCTGACCCCTCTACTGAGCCCCCCGAGGCCCAGCGCAGACTCTTGTGGCTCCGGGAGCCCCTTCCCCGGCAGGAGGGCAGCTTCCACCAGGGAAGCAGGGCCTGACTCGGGCACCTCTGCGGTCGCATCCCCTGGCACTGGGAGGGGAGAGACGCCGCAGCAGACCTCGGGCTAGCGCACCCGCATCTGCTGAGCGACGGGAGGGGAAGGCCAGACTCACAACTCAGCAGGCTCAGGGGCAGGGTGGCAGCACAGTGGGGAGGGCGCTGCCTGGCACATGGCGGGCCCCGGTTCCATCACCAGCATTTCATAGGGTCCCCCAAGCACCGCCAGGAGTAATTCCTGAGCATGGCTCGATGTGACCAAAAAAAAAAAAAAAAGAGAACCCTGGGTCAGAACAACAGAATGGGGAAGGCATTTGCCTTGCACAGGACAGACCGGGGGCCAATCGCTGGCGCGCCCCATACGGTTCCCTGGGCCCCGTCAGGTGTGGCCCCAAACTCAAAACCCAACCCAAGTCCAGCAGGCCCTATAGCTGACTGGTCCAGCTGTCTCTGCTGAAGCTGAAGCCCCGGTTCCACTCTCGTCTGGCTGGCTCTGTGACTCTGGCAAGAGTGTGAAAACCAACGTCCAAGAGGGCATCTCTGAAGACAATGACAGACCCCCGAGTGGGCGGCCTGGGGCCGTGAGCTGGACAGTCGCACGCCAGAGTGAGGATGGTGGAAACAAAGGAGCAGAACTACCCAGAGCCAAGCTGGGCTGCCGTGGGAGCCTCGCACGCGGCTAGGGGAGCCGACAAGGCCGAACCCGGGGACAGAGACAGCTAGTGATGGGCCTGTCCAAAGGCCAACGGAAATAACCGTCCCAGCGTCCGCGGCTCAGGGCCTGGGCTGGGGGTGGTCAGGGGATTGAGGAACCACAGAAGCGGGAACTGGAAGGGGGAAAAGTCCCCTCGGCCAAGACTGCGGAGGCAGAAAGAACAGCTCTGGGGCCTGGAAAAGGCTCTCCACGACACAGCTGTTTGCCCAGCGCAGCTAACAGGAGACATGAAGTAAACATACATGTTCCCGCCAGTCTTGGGGTCCAGAGCTGCATCGAAGTCCTGCGCTGAGGGTGCGGAGAGACAAGAGAGCGGGAAGGGCGCTTGCCTAGATCGATCCAGGTGCAATTCCCGGAAGCCCAGGGAGTTCCCTGAGCACTGCAGGGCGTGGCCCCCGAGCCAACTGACCCAGCAAACAAGCGAAAGTTCTGCTATGCGAGCGAGCGGGCAGCTCTGGTCAGTGGCCTCTGTGAGGACACCTCCCCTGTCCCAGAACAGTCCCAACCAACCAGCCCTCAAGTGCCAGCCTCAGAGATAAGCCAGTCAGCCGGATCTAGGACCTGCCCAGGAGTTTCTTGTCTCTCCCCGTGATAAGGGAGCATGGGCGTGAGCAGCGTCTAGGCAGAGGCGTCGCTGGCTCTGGAATAACCCCCAATCCTGCACATCTAGGAAGCCCAGCAACTCTGCACTTCACTAATTTACGCCTGGATTCTTCTGGAGTAGGGATTGCACCCAAGGCCTCACACGTGCAGAGCCAAGTGCTCGAAGGACCGGCCACAGCCTTGGCCTCAGAGCAACCCAAGGATGCTGAGCAAACAAACCTCAAGAACGGGCCCCCACTCTGCTCTGTGCAAACGTCTGGTGAGGACCATGGGGGGCAAGGCCTCGGGGAACCCCCTCCTGGGCTCGAGCCGTGAGTTCCAGGCAGTCCCTGAAGGGGGGCCGTGTGTGGCACGGGTTCTGCAGGACACCGTCCTCCACAGGGAGGGTAAGAAGAGTGACTCAGAAAAGCTCTAGAAAGAGTGAGGAACGGGCTCTGGGCCCGGCAGGTACAAAAACAGAGTGACAACAGGAGCCGGGTACCCACCTGTGCACTGACAGACAAACCAGCCCAAAGCCCAGCCCTGGACCTGGTGGTTCCGGTGGGCAGGGGGAGATCAGAGACCAAACACAACGGGGACCCTCAGGTAACTCAGACAGTCGCCCGGTCAGCGATGCTAGCCCAGGGATGGGAAGACTCAGGGACCCAAGCTCCCCGCTCTCCCACCCCCAACCCCCCAACACGCCTGCAGAGAGGAAGCTCAGAGCTTCACACTCTTTCCCAGCCCAGCAGGAACCTCTCCTCCCGCACGCTCTGGCCCCAAGAAGCAGGTGCCGTGGGTTTTCAAACTGCAGATCAAGATCCCATGGGTGGATCTAGGAAATAAACCGGATGGTGTAAGACCGGAAAAATCAAAAGAAGCAAGACAGCACGGGCCGGAGCACGGACCCTCAGCCGCACGAGCCTCTGTAAGGGAGGGAGTCGCAGAAGAGTCTGTTACTGGTGGGCGTGGTGACAAGAAACGCTATTTTCTTTCGGGGCTGGGATGTTCTAAGAGTTGAAAGCCTCCTCGGCCCTCCTTAGAGCATCAAAAGCCTGGCAACAACCTGCAAGGCAGCCGGCAGGGGCTGCCTGAATAAACGAGGGCCCGGCCCGCTCGGCGGTCGTTAGTAAGGATGAGGCAGCTCTGAAAGTGGCGCCATCAAACGATCTCAGGAACATCCAGGAAGGGAGAAGCCAGCGCGGCCAGACAGGCCGCTCACAGCGCCTGTCAAAGATGTAGACCAGCAGAGCCAGGGAAATTTGGCTAGAAACCGGCCACAGCGGTCACCCCGGGCAGGGGAAGACAATGGGGAGACAGCCACTCTGCACCGTGATTCCTTTTGCTCTTGCATGAACACATCTGTGTGTGTTACAGCTTGTAAGAATAAACCCTGGGCTAGGCCATCCACCTGCAGTGCCTGGAGAACAGGGTGGCACCCAAGCTCGTCCTGGAACTGTGGGCAAGAAACACCAGCCAGGCCTCCTTTTCTGCCCATTTCTGCTAAAACTATGGTGGCGGGGAGGGTGTGAAAACACCCTCCACAGAGGAAACAGGCAAGTGCTCACTGCTCTCACTCTTTGTGGACTTGGAAGGATTTTTAGGACCTTGAAGACCACAAAAGTATGTACGCGCGCGCACACACACACACACACACACACACACACACACACACACTTTCTAAGTTTAGAATTCAAGGTGGGAAATAGAAGTAGAATGCGATTCCATTCCGCTTTAGAACTTTGTGTACGTACTCTGAAAACACACACCCTGTGGTTCTATCCCCTGCAGAGGGTCATGTACCAGCTTTATCCGAGGGAAATGCATTGCAAGCAGGTTTTCATTTTAAAAATATCTACTAAGGGGCTGGAGAGACAGCAGAGTGGGTAGGGCGCCGGCCTGGCACATAGCTGGCCTGGAGTCACTCCCCGGCACCACATATAGTTCCCTGAGCCCTGCCAGGAATGATCCCTGAGCACAGAACCAGAAGTAAGCCCTGAGCCCAGCCAAATATGAGCCCAAAACTAAATTAAAAAAATTAAATTAGGAGCCAGAGTGATAGTACAGTGGGGAGAGTGTTTGCCTTGCATGTGACTGACCCGGGTTTGATCCCTGGCATTCCATCTGGTCCCCCAAGCACTGCCAGGAGTAATTCCTGAGTGCAGAGCCAGGAGGAACCCTCAAGCATCGCCGGGTGTGGCCCAACGTTCCCCTCCCACGTTCCCCTCCCCCCAAAAAAAGAAAATTGTGGGAGAGGGGCTGAGGAGGGCTCAACCCCAGCAGTGCTCATGACGTGCCCCGGTTGTGCGCTCCACGAGCTCTCTCTTGGGAACCGCAGGCCCGGCCAAGCTGCACAAGAATGCCTTGACCTTTGTCCTCTCTCTCCAGCCCCGAAGAGAGGCAAGTATGTCCAGACTGCAACCGACACTCCACCCATCTGAGGAAAGAGCGAGGAGGCCCCGCCGGCCGCGCGTACCTTGCCATCGGAGGCAGTGTTGATGCGGTAGTGGTACACGCGGCCCTCGTAGCGCAGCGAGATGGACCTCTGCCCGGGGCTGCTCTCGCTCTCCCGCACCAGGAAGCTGCCATTGATGCCGCTGCTCAGCAGGTACTCGGCGGCATTGCGGGACACAGGGCCATGGTACCAGGAGTGCTTCTCCAGGCTGTTGACGGGCGTGATGTAGTTGCTGGGGACCCAGCCCTGGCCATTCTTGGTTTGGGCTTCGCACCATTCTCCATTGTGGTTGTAGCCCAAGACCCGGAGCTTCTCACCTGCCGAGACAAGAGCACCATCAGACCTGGTCCTGCTTCAGGCACTGGAAACGCTGGCCTTGAACATGCCCCTGACGCCTGCACAGGGCACTTCCTGTCTGCGCAGAGGACGCAGCTATACAGCGGCGGGTTTACACCCATCTGCTATGTTCACTCTAGGGCTCTGTTCCTGAACGCAAGGGAGACCTTTGGGGACAGATTTATGTTTTCCATGCCCAGCCTGGACATCCTTTCTGGGAGATGGGAAGGCTGTCAGTGCCGAGTGCACACGCCGCTCCCTAAGGGAAGATGCTGCTCCCGGCTCTATCTAACGTGGCGTTTCCAACCAGTCAGGGCGACCAGCCACGTCACTGTGTCCCCTGCTCCCTGCCCGCAGCCCCGTTACCTTTGGTGATGCTCAGAGTGTTGTCCCCGCTGGCTACAAAGTCGTAGAGGGCAACAAAGAGGTTGGGGTCATTTTCGCTGGGCCCGGCGAGGAGGTTCTCCTTGGAGTTCCAGCGGGCAGCCTCGCTCAGACCCTGGGGCTCCAAGTCCGACGCCACGGGCCTCTGAAGAGCTTCTGGAAGGGAAGAGGGAGGGAAAAGCAGGGAGCAGATTACTCTCAGGACCGCACCGTCATAGCTCTGTCGCTCTGGTACTTCTGCAGACCTTATGGCTCAATGGTCGAGGGCCGAAAAGTGAACGTCGGCTCTCCCGGCGACGCATTGGGGGAAACATGCATTGGGGGAAACATGCATTTTCGTTCCAAGGTGGTAACTACGATTTCCCAGTGCATTACGCATGTTCAACGAAAACATTAAAATTACTTCAGCCCGAAACAGGCTGTCTTCATGTCTTTGACATGGTTTGTGTTACTTTAAAAAAAATCACAATCACCATCAAATAGTATATTTGCATGTGTACACACACACACACACACACACACACACACACACACAATTTTGGCTTTTGGGCCACATCCGGTAGCGCTCACGGCTTGCTCCTGGCTCTGTGCTCAGGGATCAATCCTGGCAGTGCTCAGGGGACCATACATGGCATATGTGGCGTCGGGGATTTGTACCAGGGCTGTCGCTTCTTTTCTGTACTATCTCTCCCACCCATCAAACAGCACAGAGGGCTTAAGTGCAAGATCAACATTCCACTTTTCCTATCATCACCAAAACCCTCCTTTATTTTCCAGCTGAGGCCATCACACCGCAGAAGACAAGCGCACCCCTTCCCACTCACCACTCCCCACTGCTGGGTAACATTGGGTCTTCCTTGCTCCTCCCGCAGGGGGCTTGAGGTTTATTGAGCTACTCCCACAGCAGTGCCCCTATGACAACTCTGCTGTAAGAGGCGAGATCGGACTACGCTGGGGAGGAGAGAGGAATAAACGGACTCCCGTTTCGTTGAACATTTGGGGCCCAGGCCGTTCCTCCGTTCCCCTGGTCCTTCGTCCATCCGTTGCTATGGGTTGGCCAGGGGAACGGTTCTCGGTCACTGAATGCTCGAGTCCCTGGCATGTGCCCCAGCACTTTTCTTTGGAAACTCACACCCCACCGGCGAGAGCTTCCCCCATCTCGGGAGATCAAACTGCCCTGCTCCCCAGGCCTCCTGGCGCCGCTCTCTGCCGGCACCCCCTGCATTTTCAGTAACAGACTTGCACCATCTTTCTCGTGCTCCCATCTAAGGAGCAGCCTCAACTGTGGACTTCACAAGGACTTCCACAGGGTCTCTGCAGCATCCTCTGTTTCCCCCAGCGGGCAGCCACAGAATGCTGCGCCCTTTGTCTACATTCCCCAAGTATGAACTCCATCAGCATGTCCTGGGGCAGGGGCTCCTGCCTGGACGCAGCAAAGCCTGGTTCAGCCCCCCGACACTGGCCCTGAGCACCACCGGGCACAGCGCAACCCTCGCCCGCTCCAAATAAACAGAACTCAGTTGAGAGGCACCTTGTCACAACTGTAGCCCAGAGTCAGTTTTCCTTCCCTCCAAGGTTCTCCCTCACTTTCTTTTTCCCAGACCCTGTGCTCACATTTCCCAGCTCCACCGTGGGCCATGCCGCTTCCCTGAAGACCCCACCCAAATGGTCCTGCAAGAACTGAGGGGGCTGGGAATAGTCTGGGGTCAATTGGAGGTTTTTTTTTTTTGCTTTTTGGGTCACACCCGGCGATGCACAGGGGTTACTCCTGGCTCATGCACTCAGGAATTACTCCTGGCGGTGCTCAGGGGACCATATGGGATGCTGGGAATTGAACCCGGGTTGGCTGCATGCAAGGCAAACACCCTACCCGCTGTACTATCACTCCAGCCTCAATTGGAGATATTTTCTGATTGCTGAAAGAAGCTAATTTCCAAAGGATCCCTGAGCGATGTTTTTTTCCTTTTTTTTTCTTGAAAAGGATGTGGTGAAAGTTAAACCTGTACTCTGGTGTATGTGTGCTCATGACAACACACACACACACACACACACACACACACACGCGCGCGCACATGCGAGGGTAGTTCTTTGGGTTAGCAGAGACACACTGCAGCTGCCTGTGATGGAGGGAATTTGAAATCCTCATCGGAGGAAATGACAGGAAGTCAAACTTAGGCTAGGGATGTGGCTCAGGCAGACATTGTCTTGCACCGGAGGACGTGGGTTTGATCCCCCACACTGGGGAAGGGGGGATCCTGGGGCCGAGAAGACAGCTGGGAGGGCTGGCACCCATCGCAGGGCAGGACATGGGCAGGAGGCAAGCCTTGAATCGAAGTGGCCCACATAGTCTGACCCCTGGCACCACGTGGTCCCTAAATACCACTGAGAGAGACCCCCAAGCATGGGGTCAAGAGCAGTCCCGGCACTTCTGTCTTGTGCCCCAAATCACAAGACAACAGGGGCCCCAGCGGCAGCTGAAGGTCGAGGCGAGAATTTCTCAGCCTATTCCCCACCGTGGCCCCCTTCAGGCCTCCTGGAGCCCCTTCATCCCACCAGAGGGCCTCCAGGTCTCGTGCCTGAACCCTGCTCCACCCCAGTTCATGAGATTTTCACCCAGGGTCTCCTGGAAATACCCTGGGGGCCACATGGGCCCAGCTGGGAAACCCTGGTCTAGGGTGACCTTCCAGAAACAGGACTGGAGAGCTTCAGGAATGCGCCTTCTTGCAAGTGTGTCTCTGGGATCAAGAAGCATGTCTTTCGGCACAGCACAAGGGAAAGCAATGCACACCTGCGCTGTTAACTCTGCTTGCAACTTTGTTCAGCGAAGGAAATAGGTTTATTTAGAGAAACATGAGGAGAGATGGGGAGGGGTGTTCTCAAGAGCTTCCAGAGGGCTTCAGTAGACAGAGACGAGCACACACACCTCATGCAAGATGCACCTCACACCGAGGCCCCTCTGCAGGGCAGAAATGCACTGCTGTCCTCTAAATGGTGAGGGCAAAAATCACCTCAAGGTCATCTCTGGGGGAGCTGGAGGGGGGAGAGTTTTGCCTTGCATGTGGCCGACCCAGGTTGAATCCCCAGCATCCCACAGGGATCCCGGAGCACTGCCAGGAGTGATTCCTGAGCGCAGAGCCAGGAGAAACCCCTGAGCACTGCCAGGTGTGACCCAAAAAGCCAACAAACAAAAGATCATCTCTGGACCTGGTGGTACTCAGCGGACAGTGCTCAGAGGACCATATGTGGTGTCAGACTGAACTGTGGCTGGCCTCACACCAGGCACACACCGAGCCCTGTATTCTGGCATCCTTTCTCCAGACCCCGGCGAAGGCTTTGTTTGACTGTTGTGGGGGCCCTCTTGTAGGTTGGGGCAGGGGTCTGCTATGCTAGTGATGAAACTTGGGGCCTTGCACGTGCTACAAAGCCACAGTCCAGGCCAAGGATCCACAACACACAAGAGCTCCTGAGTAACAAGAAAAAGATAAATCCCTTCACCCTGGAGAAATGGAAACAAATTCCGACTTACAATTTTAATGCAGGGACAGCCCTGCAGGCAGACAAGAGCCGGGGCTCAAGCCTTGCAGGAGGGAGCCTGGGCTGGGTTCCCAGGCAAAAACCCAACTGAACCCTTCAAATTCTCCAGCAAACGGACAGCTCCATTTCTTAAGGCTGATAGTGAACGTGAGAAATCCATGGAATGGGCATAATCGCTGTGACACTTCAGGATGGTCGCTGGACACACAAACCAAAGGCTTGGAGAAGTCTACATTGGGGGGCTGAGGAGAGAGCCTACACTGGGAGTGTTCCATACCCCTAATTCAGTCCCCAGCACCACATGCCCCTGACCCCAGGCCCCGGGCACTACTGAGTACAGTCCTGGTACTGAGTTGCACTGAACCGTCAGGCCCACTTTGCCGGGGTGAGTCTTGCAGGGGGCTCAAGGCCGAGGAACGTCACTGGGGAGCCAGTCCCCACCCCCTAATCCATGCCCTTGAGGAACTGACCATAAAAGATCCCAACAGGGCCTGTATGGGCTGACTTTGAAATGCTGGCACAGAAACGGAAACATACAAACTCTCCAAACAAGGAAAGTTAGTTTGTGGTCCGGCCATTAAACTGAGTAAATGCATGAAGCCATTCAGAAACATTTGGGAAGACTCGTACCATCGTTTAGAAGCACTGGGGTGACAGCATGAAGCCAGTCTTGTCAGAACTGAAAAAAGAATGCAAAAAGGCACCCAAACCCCCAAGAGGATGACAGAGGGGGAGTACAGCAGGTGGGGCAACGCACATGCAGCCCCGCGGTGGTCCCTTAGCGCAGAGCCAGGACAAGGCCTGAGCACTGCTGGGGGTGCCCCCTACCCCCCAGAAGTGAAGACTCAGTAAGTCTGGGTGGGGGAGTCGGCAAACACTGGGGGGCTCTGCCTGGTGAACGCAGACAGACCAACCGCTCACCAGGGGGTGGGGACTGCCTTTATAAACAGAAACCTGAAAGAAGTCTGCGGAGGGGAGGGGCTCTGACCTGGTTTCCTGCACTGCCTGCGGGGGGTCTCCATCCCAGGCCATGAGCTCGGGACTGGCAGATGAGGTTGCACAGGAAATTAACCCCAGGTCAGGCAAGCAGAAACGCTTTCTTCTCAGGTGCTCTCTGACCTCTCCTCTCCAACCTTAGGCTGCGTCCGGAGTTGAGCAGGGGAAGTGGCTTGGGAAGCACCTGGGGTGGGCAGGAGGTGGACACTGGCCCGGGGCCTACTAGGGACCTCAAGTGTGGGCTCTGGCAGAGCGGGTCCCCCTCCCCCACATGCCCCTGCCGGGGGCGGCAGACACTGGGACCCTCGTGCAAGGAGACAAGGCAGCTGTCAGGAAGGAAGAGGCCTTTGATTCCACAGGATGTCAGGAGCCCCAGGTGGGGAGTCGCGCCATCCTCCGCCCCGCACTCTTGCTCCATTCCACAATGGCCCGAGCCCCACGGGAGGGGTCGCTCACGCACCCCGGAAGCGAGGTGGATGCTGAGGTGCAGCCACAGGCCGGGCCGAGCCCGCCACCGACTCTCCATCCAGGCTGATGTCAAAACTGACTCACAGCACATACATGCCAGACTCCTGGCTTCATTTCCCGGGGCGGGGGCGCTGTGCTCGGTCCCCGCGAACAAGGGC